ACAAGAAATCCCGATCTATCAAGTAAATATGCGAATAATGCGCTCCATCTTCGAGTGTGGGTACTAGCAAATCCGGCGGCCATATAATATATGAGTGCAGAGGGGGGAAAAATGCTTTTGAAGGGTGATTGTTGAGGTGCCTGGAATATTTGATTATTATCCACGAGAAATTACAGGATGTTTATGTTTGGTTTACTTTCACAACTTACCAATGAAGCGGAGCAGAAAAGGGTGACTTATTTGCTGTTGTCACACATATTTCCCCCATGTTTGAACAAGTAAATATGCTCACAGCTGATCACTGTAATCAACCTGAAATATACTGTTACCCACTAATTATGAACACATAAAAACCTCAGCCTACGCTTAATCCATTCATTCAGTTTCTACGCTACTTATCCTGTTGAGGACGGTGCGGTGCTGCTGTCTATCCCAGCCGAATTCAGCCCAACAGCCAGGCTACACCCGGAACTGGTTGCCAGTCAGTCACAGGGCACATACAGAGACAGAAAACCATTCTGACTCACATTCACACCGTCACTGAGGGGGAACTGAAATGACGCTGCCCGCACAGGCAAATACAGTATACTCCTACTCCATCTTTGACTGAACTGTTAATAGGACAGCATATCAACAATGATAAAGAAAACATACTTTCACGTTATATGAAAATACATTTTAGCCTAAGAAAGTCACTAAGAAGTCACTGAAGAAGAGAGGGACAAACTGAGAGTATTGTACAGGACAGCATTAGGTTTCATGCCTCATGCAGGTGACTAGCACTTGAAGAATGGACTTGAAATGTCAACTTCCTTTCCCACCTTCCACACAAGCATGGCTCATTCTGGGAGTGGGGAGAGACTGGAATAAAAAGTGACAACCAGCCCACTGCCACAATGCTACAAGAGAGTATTCTATACACTAAAATATCCTCCAAAAAGAAACACTTTTTTTAAGAACGTGTGCCGTGAAAGTGATTTATGTTTTGCAAGCCTTTAAATATTGGCTAACAGCATAATGGCTAATGACAAGCATACAAATGAAGAAGCGTATTTACATGTTGAAAATGTTCTCATATTAATAAGAAAACCTCACATTCAAAATCATAGTTATTTCTTACAAACAACAATAAACAACTTTGTGCCATACGGAACCGTGTTTGGCCACTGTCCATGTTTCCCGTCTGTACGTTTGTTATAGACTACCACGTGTGGTGTATTAATTTTGCAAATAGCACTGTGTCTTAGTGCAGCTCACAATGTGGTACTTTTTCAGTAACCTAGCACTGAATAATCTAAACTCTCATCACAGTACATCGCATCACTACTTTACTGGAGCCTTTCCTCTTCGAGTAAATCATCATACCCGGTTTAACTTGTTGTTGCCCAAGTTGCCAGGTAACTTAGCTTAGCATAGCTCGCGCCCTGCAGACAAAGCGAGTCTCTTATCAACAGTCCCTAAGCATTCATGGCGTGTGACTGTAAATTAATGTGAGAATTGTGTGAAATGTGTACGAAAAACAGATAAAGAGCAGGAGAGCATGACAGCCAAGACTGGATCATTTTTGAATCCTTGTCCTCCTCACGACCAATGCCAGTGGGCCATTGGAACAGCCGTTAAAGCCTCTATCTCACTGAACGGCGAAGAATTGCTAGTATTTGCAAGGGCAGCGAATATTGCGTTCTCATCAGGGTTTGTTCACAGTCACAAACGGTCACCATACTTTCACCTGTACTTTTCTTGTCGCAAAGGAATTTTGAATGTTCAAAATCTACTTGTGACAAGAAAAAAAAAGACTGCAACGACTGGCAAATGTTCAAAATCTACTTGCGACAAGAAAAAAAAAAAAAAGACTGCAACTACTGGCAAACGTCTGCCGACCTTAAACGAACCCTGACAAACTCTTGATGTGAACGCAAAATTCGCTGCCTTCGAAAAACACTTGCAGTTTTTTGCCGCTCAGTGGGTTCGGGGCTTAAAGGCTGTGAGGGGGTCTTGAGCTGACAAGAGACCACAGCACCATACCCTGGCTTATATTAAAATCTTTACTTTCAAGTGAGTTCAATCTTAATATATATCAACTTTAGCGAAATTAAGTGCTATTAAGAGCTGTGTTTTATCAATATCAGACATTTTCCCAAAAGGGGGGGAAAAAATTGCGAATATTCGATGGAATAGTCGATAGATGTTTTCCAAAAAGATTTGTTACTGACAGCCATAATATGAATGTATAAAGTAAAATATATCTTTCATTGCTTGGATGAAATGGAAATCCAACTTCTTTTGCAGAGGTAAAAGTTGACACGGAATAGTCGTTTTTAAAATACAATTTCAGATGAGATTGCTGCCGTTTGCTGAAATAGAAAGCATTGAAACAATTACTGGAACCGATCAGCAAGTTCACAAAATGGAGTAACATGTCGATCAAAATAACTCATTTATTTTACTATAAATGCTTGTGTTCAGTTTACTGAGCATCAACAGAAGTATTCTGAAGCATTTTTGCCAATGTTTAGGAGTGGTTCTCAGAAACATGGTCCAGGAGAGGCCAAAAAGTTAACTTGTTCAAAACCAAGGAGTGTGATTCACAAACAAATGGGCACAACACAATTACACTATAAAAATTCATTATGTATTCTGAGTTACTGTATTTGCAATATCACATCAAAAGAGGAGTTATGGGTGTCGATGAGCAGACTCACACTTGCATCACACAAAGAGCTAAGCAACTTCTCTGTGCAGCAAAAGGAAGTTAATACATTACAGACTGACAGGTAGTGCCAAAATCTTTAACTAGCTGCCAAAATTAATTTGTGGTGGCATACCGCGTGTAAATGTTTACGTGAGAAACAAGTGGCTGCAAAGTTTTACTTCACGGAGCTGGTCAAATTTATGGCTGATCAGAAAAAGTGCATGAAATATAAATATAATAAATATAATATAATAGTGGCTGATCCGATCAGAGGTGAAAAGTCGAAAGACGTGGTTTCATTTTTCAGAGATGTACATTTGTCTACATTGTGGTGTCCAAAAGTAAAAAATTTAAACAGCCCTAGTCTCAACTTTAATTTAAATACAACCATCAAATATATTTCCCACCCCATAGGTTTAAGATAAACTTAGCTAAGTCAAGCATTATCCAAAATCTCGAGAAACCTTCCCTCTGTTTCCCTGAATGTGAATCTCTGACAGTACAGCATGTAGCCTACTCTAAATCTTACACCAAGGACTGCACACTTGATAGGTTTTTCATAGCAGTCTCGTCCAAAATCGACCAAAGTACAAATATCTAATAACTGCAGTATCATCCACAGTATGACCATCCAAGACAGCATGGTTGGTGTTGTTCATAAAAATCCACGACCAATTGATGGAATGCAACAGGACATCATATTTTGTGAATTAGGTCATATAAAAAATAATAATAATAATAATCATAAAAAATAAATAAGTTGAGTACTTGCTGTCTGATTTGTAGTTCTTTTTTTTTTAAAAAGGACTGAATGTTGAATTGTACATAATGTAAATTTTGGTACTTTTCATTGCCAGGACTGACAGTTTAGTCTTTCACAAGGTGTCACAGTGGGTTTAAAATTGTTCAATAAAATCCCATTTTAACAGGGCATGTTACCTAGTTTTTGTACCACTGACTCCAAACGACATTTCCTAGATACATGGATGGATAGATGGATAGATGCATAGATGGATAGATAGATGGGGTGCTTTCACTGATTTTCATGATTATTTATTTCACTTAAATGTCTGCTATAACTCCATTATAACAGATATCAGCACATTTTGAGCTACAGTAAGTACTGGTCTACAACTCTCAACTGCTACAGCATTCAGAATGAGTAAAATTGTTTAAAGAGATTTCTGTTGAACATTTCGGACAGTTTATTTCATCTAGTTTCTCCATGAAACATATCAGATAAGGTTGATGTGTTGTATGCAAAGATTTCCATTTCAGTCTACTACAACAGTCGGAATGAAAAAAAAAATCCTTGATTTGATATATGGTGATTTGTGGGACTTATGTCACCCTGGAATATGTAATTTGTGGATGTCCTTAACAGAGACGATAAGAGAAATACAGCTGTTCTCGCCGTAATTGCATATACACTTGAAGTGACAAATATGGAGCAATGATCTTTTGACAGATAGTTTCCAAAGTGATCCTTATTAAAAATGTGATTCAGTCGCACATGTCATGCTGATGTGGAGTAAAAATCGACCGTTAAGCTAATAATGAACATCCAGCAAACTTTTACCAGCTTGCGTCAAGTAATGTACGTTAATGAGGCGTTATGTCTAACCAATCTTAACTTGCTTCATCATGGTACAATGTCTGTTTGTTCAACTCGGCGAGGGTTTCAGCTTTACTTATCTTTTGTTTAGTGTTAGTCTTGTTTGTGAGGTCATTATAATCTTTCATATAGTTTGTGGTTGAACTGAAGAGTTAGCGAATTGGTTTTACGGCGACCATTTATCAGAACATCTTACAATTTTTTGCCTTTTTTTTTTGATTGACGTTAGTCTTGTCAACTCCGAATTACTTTACTTGCAGACTTATGGGTAACTCCTCCATTTCCACAATTTGAAACAAGGTCATCTTGCGCCCGACTGGCCCCATTGAGTCACATGACTGAAGTCTGCCCACTGATTCCCAGAATTAAGACTTATCACTTCCTCCTCCTTTGCCGTTTATGCATGCTGATTCGCCAAATGAGGACTTTCATCACTTCCATCTACTTTGCAACCATTCAATGGACCCGTTCGGGTTTTCTTTTGAGACAGTATTAATACTCGATAATGTAATATTGCCCATCGTGAAAGGAACAGTGAGAATAAAATCAATGACAATCTACTGTATGTCATCCACCCCCAATTTTTCACCCCTGCACTGTAAGTACACCCATACTTAAGTGAACGGAATAATGTCATTTTATGTATAAGGTAATGTACGTTTATATCTTCGTAAGCACATAATAACAACGTACCTTCGGTTCGGATGCGGAGAGCTCCAGGAACAGGGAGAAGCCTCTGGATGCCTGGGGAGGCATTACTTCCCAGGGTTCGATGCTGGTTCTCTGCTTGGCTGCTGTGAGCCCCTGAGGGTGAGCAACCACCGGCACTGTGCTGCTGCTGCTGCAACAACTGGGGATTCTGCTGGTTAGTTCCTATTATTCCGCTGCCAGTAATTCCATTCCCACCAGTATACTGCTGGTAATATCCAGACCGGGAACGCGATCGAGTCCTGGGGGGCTCCATTGCCATTTGGTGGCCGTGGAAGGGGTGGAATAGGAAAGAGGAGGACGCGGCTGGGGACTGCGGCGGAGAGCTGTTCGTGGATGCTGGCTGTAAGCTCTGACTGCCTCTGTGGCTGTAACTATAGCCCCCAAAGCCTCTGGCCCCCTCCGCGCCCCCGTACTCTGTTCGCTCTGCCGACTCCGCCGCCCCCGCCTCTTCGAATAAATCAGCCCCTTTAGGGACCGGTTCTGGGGTGGAAGGCAGCCGGGGGCACACTCTGGGCTCTTGAGTTGTTGGCTGGCCAGTGGCTGCGATTGGCATTTCCTTTTGGGGGATTTCCTCGGTTTCCTCTTTTCGACTGGTTTGCAGTCACATAGGAATCTTGTCGGAGTTGAGGCACAGTTTGAAAAACAACAACAAAAAGTCGCACAGTTAACATCACAGCGCTATAACACACTGTCAAAAGACCATTTACTACTTTACCAAAGGCGTTAGGATACGGTTGGTGTGAATAACTAAACACATTTGCTCACTAGCACGGTTGTACAGTATCTATCATTAATCAAAGTTTACTGTGGGTTGAGGTCGACTAAAACTATCACCCAGCGCCCCACAAACGTGAAAATACACGCTGAACAACTCTAAGCAAATAAACATGAGATAGAGTACCGCTCGCTAGCTCCTATAAGGCTGTGATGTTGTTGGAGGTAGGCTAACGTTCAGTGCGCGTAACGTACTGCGTTCTAAATACATTCCATACTATTACGCAGTTGCTTTTCTCAACCTGGCTGATCCCCGAACTGACTTTCTGACAACTTTGACCACTTTAGCAACATATTAAACTTGTTCAGAGTGCCTGCGTAGTGCCGCTCGTTAGCTTGGAAAAGATAACGCAACCCCCTCCTCCTACAGCGACCAACACCGAGGAAAAAATTCAGTTGCTTGCCACCCACGCCTAGAACACCCTTAAACTGCGTGGTTATAAGCGAAAAGCAAAAATAAGGATAAAAAAAACTTTTGAGTCTGCCGAACCAGCCACAATCGCCGGCCATGTTACTTAACGAAACAGAGGCAAAGCTATAAAAGATGGAAATCAAAAACTTACCAACCAGAAACAACAAAGAAATAACGAACGCTATTTACAGGCTGGCATTATCATATAATTTTCGCCAATCTGTGCGCGTTTTCCTGATGACCAACCTGCAAAGTGATCTCGCGGACTCGTACTCTTGCCTCCAATCTGTCGATATTACGGCGTGTGTCTGAGCTCTGAGTGTTCGCTTGGTGTCAGCGTGAAATGTGACAGACAGTCAACGCTCAAGTCGGATTGTACCAGACCAAAGTAATAGATTGCCGCTTCATCCATCCCCTATACTGGATTACATTTCCTGATACATTCTCCCCCGTTGTGAAGGAACATGGAAATACTACTTCAGCGTGCACAATAGGGTGACATATTGCATTCAAAATAACGAACGTACGAGACCAAATGACTGGGCACTTAGGTCAATGTTCGATTAACAGTGTCTGTGAAATCAGAAACTGGATGGCAAAGAGGCAGGCTAAAAGGGGATTTAAATTATTTATTTACAAATACCAAGCCTGCGGATTGCAGCTGTTTCACCCAGTGCTGAAAGTTTGCCGTGGATGTTCGCTATACTCGCAAAAGTTTCGTGCAATTTCTTGTTTCTGGATAATAACACGAAGATACTTAAAACGAAACACGTAAGAATAGATCACGTGTAGTTTTTGCCACGTTTTACCTGAATACAATAGTTTGACATACATGTGGAATCTGAGTGTAAATATTTTCCCAATCAAAACATTTTATGTCAAATGTCAACTACGTACTGTAGCTTGTAGTTTAGTACATCGGCTACGTGCGCCTCCGTGTGTGTAATTTTGTGTACGTACACTTAACCCCGAGCAGTCCATTTTAACTCTCAACATTATTCTCTTGGTTTAGCTCCCTAATTTCACACTCATCAGCGCCACTCCTAATACACACATCCAAAGACATTCTCTCCTCATTACGCTCCCTTTTCCGACTTTGATGATATGCAAATAACCCTCCACCCTGTCGCCTTCCTCCTCCTCCTGTTCCCTCCTTCCTCCTCCCTCCTATTTCTCTGCCTCAAGCAATAACACACACATGCACACACTCACACATCACGCACAGGCTAATGCGCTGTGGCAGTGGCCACAGACAGGCGGGGAGGATCAATTTCTTACCCAGTGTGCTACCGATATTCACAAGATAAGGCCATGGAGAGGGAGGTGGAGGAAGGAGGGGGATGCTGCAGAGATGGGAGTAAGGAAAATGGCGAGTGGGTATAATGGAGGGGAGGGAGCTGGAAGAAAGTGTGTCCAGGAAAAAGGAATGAGTAGGAAGAAAAGGGAATTGTGAGTTTACACGGGTGAGAAAGTGGTGGATGTGGAGGAAATCTCGCGGGTGCGCGGATGGGTGGGTGCAGGATGAGTAAGTGGGTTAGGGTAGTCGGGAAGGGGGATGGGGTGTAGAGAGGACTCTGGGGGATGGGGTAGGGAATGGATGGGGTGGTAAGGGAAAACGAGAGATATGTGTGTGCGTATGGGGGGGGGCATTTTGCTGACGTACTTTCGTATTGGCTTGTTCAAAAGCTTGGGGAGGGGCAGCCACAAAGCATACTCTCCCCAGCTGTATAGGAAGTGCTGAGGAACAAAGAGTGTGTGTGTGTGTGTGTGTGTGTGTGTGTGTGTGTGTGTGTGTGTGTGTGTGTGTGGTGGGGGGGTTAATGTTGATATTCTGGTCTAATTAAATTCTGTAATGAATTGTGCTTATCAGATACAAGTCGTGTAGAGACAAAGGCTCATGCTTTTGTTTGAGTGGGAGAATTCTGCACACACATGAGTTCTTGATCTATTTTTCACATGTATTTGAGAGACAGAAAGGCACAAATTGCCAACACTGTTTCATAATTTGTAATCTGCTGCAACATTAGGTGCACTTGGAAAATGTCATGAGCTTCAATACAAGATCTGTACACAAATATGCCTTTATAAATAGAGATCTTTATTCAGTGGTGGCAAATTTATATGAGGGCCCATTTGTAGTTATGTTTCCTTCGGAGGGCCGCTATGACTATTATCCCAAATAAATATCTGATCGCCTCATATTACACCGGCTGTAGACAAGAAATTGATGAATAACTAGTTTTGATAGTGATAGTTTGTTCCAATATTTTTTAAGGCAGATTGGTGACAAAAAATGCTTGCAATATCTCAATGTTCGTAGTTTTGTTATTTTAGAAAGAAATATGTTAAGTCATGCACGTATTTTGTTTCCGTGGGCCACATAAAAAGATGTGGCAGGCCTGATCTGGCCCCCGGGTTTTGAGTTTGATGCCTGTGTGTTAATTGAACAACATATGTCAATTGTTATGGTTGTAGTGTGCAGTACTATTAAACTGCACTGCATCACTCTCACAAGTGACCCTCTAATGTGGCTTCATCAGGTAACCAAAATCCCGCATGTGATTCCACTCTGTACTAGTGACCGACAACACCGCTAATAATAAACATGGTCTTAAATATGATCTTTTCATAGTGCATTTCATTTGATCGTGCAGGTTTACCACTCAAACCACTATTGATGACCTATACAGTAGACAGCAGGAATCGATCCTATCGTAGCTGCCTGAAAGTCTGCTATATGCACCACCACACTACAAGTGACCTTACGTATGTCTCCCAACATGTTGAATAAAATTCTTTTTGGAATTTTGAAATGTAAAAATATTCAGTACAGTGTCTCAGATGTCTGCATCAACATACAGTACCACCTTATGACAACGTATTTAGCCATATGAATATAATGTAATTAAATGTAAACACACTTCTCGAAGTGTACTAAAAAGATAAATACCATTTCCACACACAGCAGAAGGCAGATTGGAAGCTATGTGTTTGTGGAGGTCAGCTGAACTCTGCCGGCTAAACCAGTCTGTTGACTCTGAATGAGTGACAGGCATGGAAAATAGACATAGTGTAGCATGTGTGTTCATTGCTGAAGAGAAAGAGAGCAAATTGATTAAAAAAATTAAGACACTGGAGTACATTAAGCAATGCATTAAAAAATATACTGATAGACATACATACAGACACAAGCAATAGAACAGATGCCATCATACAAGAGAAGAATCCGGGCTCTCCGTGGCTTAGCTAGAATAAAGTAGAGGGACATGGTAAGATGTGGAACCTTGGCTTCCCTATTAAAGCAGGTGGAAGAGGAAAAAAAAACCCAAAACAGATCACATACAAAAAAAAGGAGGGGGGAGGGGGCAAATAGCTGGCAAGAATGCACAGGCATAAAGCAACATATTACTCACCTTCTGCCTCTGTTTGTTGGTTTGAGCAACTCTGCATACTGCATTGCAAATTTGATTTGGTGTAATCACACTCATTTAAATCATTATTCATTCATTTTAAGTATGATGAATAGTTGTAAAGCCTTGATTCAAACCCACAACCTCTGCACTGTGAATAATATAGTTTTAATGTTGAGCACTAACCCCATCCTTAAAGGCCAGGGGTGTCAAACTAATTTTTGTTGCCGACCGCATTGTAATTATGGTTTCTGTCAGAAGCCCATTAATGACATACAACTGAGCAAAAATATGAACTCACACTCCCATTTTTTGGGAGCTGGATTCAAAGAACAAAAACCTTTTCTACATACTCAAAAGGCCCAGTAATTCAATCACCATAATTTTTCAGAAAAAACATTACCTGGATGAAACCTTTTTTCACCAATGGAATACAGTGTGTTGTTGTCATCGGTGTCAATTGCCTGATCAGGGATGTACCATGGGTGTCCTGCAAGATTCCATTGTAGGACTAGTTCTTTTTTCTCTTAACATTAATTACTTTCCAAACGCATGCAAAAACATCTACATACAAATGTATGCAGACGATGCAGTAATATCCTTACAACTGAATTGGCCCAGGTTCAAGATTGCCTCACAAAATCATGTTTACAAAGCAACACCTTTTAAATTTTAAAATGACTGCTGCCTGCATGATGTTTTCCAATTACACAACCCCCCCCCCCCTGCAAATTCCAAAGTATTTACCGGAGGCAAGGAACTCAAACTGGCACAAAACTTCAAGTACCTTCGACTGTTCCTGGATTCCGCTCTCACTTTCAAAAGTCCATCCATCCATCCATTACTGCATGCTGGAGCTTACCTCAACTGTCTTTGGGCAATAGGTGGAGTACACTCTGAACTGGTTGCCAGCCACCGTGTCATAAAAACATTCTGTAACAATCAAACTCACCCTTCTCAATTTCAAATATATTCAATCATCTTTGACACTTATGGCAGTGAGGAAGTTTTTGCATGCTATGGTGTTTTCATGTATTGAGTATTGTTTTACAAAATGGTCTCTCAAACATGAAACCACATTCAAACAAATAGAACCATTATATAAACGAGCAATAAAAATATTGGCCAGAAAACTAATTTTGTACTGTGACTGTAATATTCTGGAGATGTACAGTCTTCTGAGTTTTGATAATTTTAGATATTTTAAATTGGCTTGTAATATATATAAAATACACCATTGACAGGCACCACAACTACTAAGGGAATTTGCAAAGCTGAAAACTACCAACGGCAGCGCCACTAGGCCTGTGGTCAGAGGAGACTGTGATGTCCCCTACAGACGATCAATTTTTGGACAGCCTCTGTAACATCCGGAACACTGTTTCGACTTTGTCGGTTTCGCGTTTTCAAAATAAACGTCTGCATTTTGGGGATCCAGAACATTATTCGGTCCTTTCTCGACCCTGATATGGATAAATTTCAAGCCCAAAATGTTCACTGGATGCTATCTTAAGTCTATCAATGGAGCAATGGATTTTCACTTAATTAACAAATATAATTTGATTGTTTAAAATGAGTTAGTATTAGTTTTATGTAATCTGCATATTACAAACAATACTCAAACACATTTGCATTAGGTTTCTTATTCAAATTGACTACAGAAGGGAAAGATGTAGTGGGGGAGATGTTGATTTACACTCATTTGCTGCATGTACAGTATTTTGATGCCATTTTTACTTGTTTTTTGTATTTAATGTAACTGATGTAAGATGACCAACGCTTCATAAAACAATTCTGCACAAATTAAAGTCTCTTTCAGATCAAAAAATCCATACACACAGTTGGAGTATTGTGATTTGGCAAACAGATTCTGTAATACAATCAAATTGACCTATCTACTCACATATACAATCATGGTCTCAGTTCCAAAATAACCATTCACTCTATAGAGGAATCAAGGGATTTATAGGCGTTGCCAGATTAAAACAGAAAAACAAGGATTTATTTTCCCAACTTTTCCATCCACTGACAGCCACATTAGAGGCTTATAGTCTTTAGACTGTCACAGAGGGGGATATGGTGAAAAACACCCCATTTTGTTGTGGATGCTACTTGTATAATACAATGAACTAGTATGGTCGAGCATCAGTGTATTTGTAATAGTAAATGCTCCGTTTTTCAAAACAGAAAGCCTTATTAAATCTGACAAATTGTTACATATTCATGAACAGAAAAAAATGTATTAAATTGATATACAGCGCTGTAAACTAAACAGAAGTGATTTACAGTGTAGTGTTTTATTGTTTTATTAGCTGATTATATTTTAAATGTGTTTTTAACTTGTTTTCTGTGTGTTTTCATACACATGCAAGAGTGGTTAAAAGCAAGCAACAGAGAGGCAAAGCCATGCCATATACTGAGATCAGAACAGTGACAAGGGTTCGAAAACCTAAAACCTGCTGATGAATGGGTGTGACCGGCTGAAAGAGGAGGCTTTCCAAGGTTTTAGTATGGGTGAATGTACTTCGATGGTGTACGCACACTAAAAGTGCATTTATGTGTGGGCAGGAGGAATTGCCCAACCCCCATTCTCAAAGCCAGCACTGGTGGGTTCGGCATTGGCAAGTTTCAAGTCAACAGAGGAGATGAACCGGAGCGCCATTTTCTCCCTTTTTCTACAAGGCCTTTCTAGTGGCTAACGGCATTCATTCAATGTTACGACAAATCCTGCTCACACACAGAATATTCCGACATCCCTCCATCCAGTGTGCTGGTGTACCTCATATGACTTGGCAGAAGTGAACCTCACATTCGTGTGTGCCAGAGCAGGAATGTGTTTGTCAAGAGTTTTGGCAGTTTTTTCAAGGCAGCCTGACCAAAATATCCACTGGGAAATGTGGTTTTAACGCCCCCTCGCATACCTCCTCCTGTGTCCTTTCATTTGGTGCTTTCACAATTAGATTGCTTCCGTTTCTGTGTGCCATGCTATCTCTTTCTTTGTAAATTCTCAGCCAGCGGGAATCCTCACTGATTTGTTCCTTTGGATCAAATAACACCAGTTCCCCGTTTTGTTTTGACTGCATATTCACTCTCTGTTTCCTGTATTGAAATCCTGATAATTCCATTTATATCAAAACACGTGGACGATGAGATATTGCCGCACACACGAATGCTAATGGAGAAACATGATAGTGGGTATCTTGTGGGGTCAGATGAGATACAGAAGCTACTTGGTATTCCAACATCTCCAAATCATGACACACGGGAGAGGGCGCTTGGAAAATACAGTATGCAAATGATGACATACCTCATATTTAATGATCTTCTGAAATTCATTAGCTGTTGAAATGATGAACAGACTGTGATGTGTCAGACAAAGGACAGCATATTGTAAATGGACAGTCTTGTCCATGTAAATCAATATTTGGGATCTACATTTGTTGACCAAAAGCAAGAAATACAAAGGCCCTCCACAAAGTACTTTTCCCTCAATGAGGAATAGTCTACCTCAGTAAAATTAGTTGGAGTCCATCCATTACTCACTCATCCCCCCTCACAAATGTCCTTCCTGAGGTCCACTTCCAACAGCTATCTTGAGGAAATAACCGCCTCCACACTGACTCAAGAGTCTGCTGCTCTCTGTGTGACTCTTTTTCGTTCTCCCAACTTGGTCTCACACTGCCTCTCCTCCTGCTTTTTGGCTGCGACCTCTTGTGATGTCACTGAAGGAAAATGGTCCGTGCATGAGTGAAGTTGTGAGTGCTCGCTTGGTGCATGCGCATGAGTGTCGATTGAGTGAGAACAAGAGACCCGGAGGAAAAGAAAGGCACAAGTATCTGATTTCCCTTCTAAATTCAGTGCCTTGCCTCCTTCTTTTTAGTCTGAAGAAAATGTGTGCAGGAGTAAAAAAAAGACGGCTGTGTTTAAGTTCCTGGGAGTCTTTTTTATCAAGATGTGAGTCAACTGTAGACTTTATGTTTCAATTTAAGGGGTTCTACAAAATAGGGCGTGCTGTATAGCCTATACCACTGGACTTATAGCCATTTTGTGCTGACTGTTTGAATAAGAAAGTATGGACTTTTGATTTATCTCTCCATTCATCCATTTATCAGGTTCAAGGTTGTTGATGTGCTTGAGCCGAAACCAGCTGACCTAGGGTGAGAGGTGGGGCACATTGGACTGGTCATCAGACAAACTACAGCCAAGGCGTAAATGAGATTTTCACAATATCAAGACTGAAGGCAGGAACATGCACAAACAAGCAGCAACTAAAGGAGCCCCCCTGCCACCCCAAAAAATTACCCTTGTCCAAATGCTTCTGCTTTGGATATAAAATTTACCTTAATAATGTTGACTGCTTGCTCTTTGCTTTTCTTTGCTTTTCTTCATGAAACTCACAGTTCTCTTTTCCTGTGATGTTTCACAAACCACATCCTGGCTGCGGCTTCAAACGGTATACTGGCTAACGGTGTGAAAACACACACACACATATCGCCCTTTGATAGAGCATATTCTTTCATTCTCATTACAACAGTCACATACGCTAGCCATTCAATAATTACACAGTCATGGTAAGCTACTGTCCAATCTGTGGGAAGCCTGTCTATTTTGGTGAGTATATGACCTTTTACCTTTCTATGCCAGATGAGTGTCTTTCTGACATTTTCTCTCTCACCAGCTCTTTTAGTTTTGTGGTTTAACAGAAGGAAAACATTTTGAAGAAGTCATACAGTGCTGCATAATTTTGATACTGTATATTTTAACATATAAGACAAGTATAAAAGTGTCATTCTTATAATGGATGTTTTTACAGGGAAAGGTTAAACTTCAAAGTACAGTATAGGCCTATTAATACAAATGGGCTACATTCTATTCTGCTTGATTGATCTTGTTGGCTCAACCCATGAAGAACAATGCGTTTTGCTCTTTTCAAATAATAGCTTGAAGTACATGTCTTAAAAGATAGCTTCGGTAGACATTTTATATGTGCTGAAAAGGTTTGCAGAGACTAATTTGTGGCATTCACATCTCCCTGTTCTTTGCTATCTTGCGATAGAAAAAAGATATTTCATATTCTTCTCTTATAAGCAAGCACTCTCTCATTTCCATAATGACAACAGGATGTGGGTGTAGTGTAGTCAAACAAGTTTGCATAACAGTCAGTTTTCTTATTTCTCTAACTTCTCACGAGTAAATTACTTTTAACCAGTCAATTATACAATGAAGAAAACAGAACAATATTTGGTTGGGAAAAAAAAAACTAGTAGTAAGTAATTGGAGTGTCTTTTTGTAATAAACAAATACTATGCAAAAACTTTCCTTGTAAAATTTACATTAAAAAACTTTACTGTAGGGATATTAGAGTATATACTGTATGGATATATGTCACTCCAATTATTTCAGTGTGTTCAGTATGTTTGTCTCTTAAGCATAAAGCAATTAAGTTAAAATTGTCTGACACAATCACCCTAGGGTGGCCCAGTGATCCAGTGGTTAGCGCATCGACCTCACAGTGCAGAGGTCGTGGGTTCGATCCGGCTCCTGTGTGGAGTTTGCATGTTCTCCTGCGTGGGTTTTCTCGGGGTACTCCAGTTTCCTCCCACATTCCATAAACATGCATGTCAGGCTGATTGAACACTCTAAATTGTCCCTAAGTGTGAGTGTGAGCGTGGTTGGTTGATTGTCTCTGTGTGCCCTGCAATTGTCTGGCAACCGGTTCAGGGTGTCCCCCGCCTACCGCCTGAAGACAGCTGGGATAGGCTACAACATCCCCCGCGACCCTTGTGAGGATAAAGCGGATCGGAAAATGGATGGATGGATGGACAATCACCCTACTTTCTGCCTTAGCAATCATCGAAGTAGAATCACAAATACAAATACAAGAAACATATTTTAAAAGAAACACTGCATTTTGACTGCATGAACTACAGTATTATGTTCATTTAACATTCATTACAGTGGACAACACATCCTCCTCTTTCTCAGCAAAACCATTCCTCTTTGTTGGTTCAGGTGAGAAGAAGAGGTCTTTAGGAAGAGATTACCATCCACTATGTCTGAAATGTCAAAGGTGTAAAAGACAGCTCACACCTGGACAACATGCTGAGGTAACTAAATTGGGAATTTGTAACACATAAAGCAAATAGGTGGACGATGAAGAAAAAAAAATCCTCTTGTTGATTGTGTTTCAGTATGATGAGAAGCCATATTGTTCATACTGCTACATGAAGATGTTTGGTCCAAGAGGTAGTTTCTAACCACTCACATTCAAACTTAAACGCAAGGTTATATATCCAGTTGCTGGATTTAATCACCTCCTCCCCAGACCTCCACCCCACAATATCGCTTTCTCTCAACAGGTAACAGGTGATCCACAGGGAGTCTCAAACCAACTGGGATGACTGAACTGATCTACCATCATTGACTGACAAGGAGAGGAGAGCACATAAGAATGATGGACTAGATATTATCAGTGTTCCTGTATTTGATTTAAGAAATGAAAGAATGTGTGTGACTTGGTCATTCAGACACTAATAATAAATGCATTTTAACATTTCCTAACACCAAAACTGATTTTAAGCTTTGATTAAAAACAAACCAGGTGGGGTTACGTTAATCTTATTTACAAAGCAACAGCTTCCTCTAGAAATGAGTTGAACTGTGGATTAATAGGTACTCCATTAATCTTCAAAGGCAAGGATGGGCAAGATAACTACTGGTAGATCTTGTACCAAAATAGTCTGAAGTGCACCAAAATTAATGCATGTGGTGTGTCATCTGATGGTTTTAGTTGACACATAAATAGAGTGATATGATGAGCTTCTCTGCAGTATCATGTGTTCCACAATTTAGACTTACCTGGCTTGTACAAATACAAAAGTCAACACATCTCAGCAAGTAAGGAGAAATCTAATGGACAAAGCAAAAGTGGAGATGCACACACTCACACATCACGCACAGGCTAAAATGTAATGGACAAAGCAAAAGTGGAGTCAATTGAATGATGCTTTGTGTGTATAATGCCTTTGAATGTGACTGTCTCCCTCTCATCCACCAAGATACCTCATTCATCCTCCCTTTGCTCAACCCCAAGCACTCCATCCCCGCTCGTTCCCTCCCCAACCCGGCTCCTTCACCCTCTAACCTCCTACCTTGATAAATCACATTACTGCTGTGAAACCAGCTGGTTGACTGCTCATTTGCATGTTCCAAATACAGTGCTTTATTAGAGAGAGAGGTGGTGGTGAAGGGACAGGGGGATATATGTGGAGAGGAGCCAGGGGTTAGCAAGAAGCTGTGGTGAGTGTAGGCTCATTATTGAAGCCTCATGACAGGTGATTTCAAAGCCAGGAAGAGGCCCTCTGACTGTTACATGGAATCAACAGGAGCACGGAAAAAGAAAAATACAGCAATGGAAAATATGGTTGAATTTTGAGAGCTACTTGTATGCCTGATATATTCATGATTTCATATCCAAGGACAAAGTGAAGTGTGTGGAAACAAAAGCATTTGAACACGTTTCTAGTTTTGCCAAGACTCATCACTTGGCCTTGTCTTTTTGTGTGTAGCAGTATTGACATCTAGTGGTGACTTCAGTTACAAAAATGGATTCGATGAATCCATTGCGACTATAAAATCACAGCTGCGGTATAAGTGTCTGCATTTTATATATTATAAATAGTTTATCCATGTATTTTCTTGTTTTGTGATGTCATACCGTGACTGACTGAAAATAATCCGATCCATTTGGCCCCTAGCTGATTGTTTTTAATTCTGAGCGATATTAATTATCGTTCACTTCTCTGGTATTACTACGTTTACGTTTATCAAACCTAGATGGCAAAACTATCACCACAACAAAACGTGTCTAGTCGTCGTTTCGACTGATCACAGTTATGAAAGGTAACTGTTCGGAAACGTTCTCGATTTACGAACAGTAAGCGAAGGCAAATTTGAGTACGCATGCGTACTGAATGAACCAGGAAGTGAGACAGTCGGCGTATGCTGTCATGTACAGTGTGAGCGAAATCGGCTCTCACGGAACAAGTGTTTGGCGTTGATGTTCGCTCAATGGGACATCAATTGAGAATGGATTCTTGACAACTCCAACACAGTGTGGTATTCTATTGGTGTACATTCAAGAAGTAAGAATTAAGAACTGAGTGCTCGACAATGATGTCAGAATGCGACCCGACAGGGACCTCGGAGCCTGCGTTGGACACCGAGACAACCGCGGTTTCGCTACCGGAGTCCAATTCCCTCAACGTACATCCTTCAAGGGTGTTATTTGACAAGAGCACGCCGGGCTCGGGGCTCCAATCTAACCCCGGCTTTGCCGTTCGAATTTCGGACTCGTACGAGAGCGTCTTGACTGAGCTCGAGGCAGAAGGCTCCGGCGAAGACGCGTTGCTGTTGCCGTGCGTTGCTGGAAGCTCGTCCCCACCTAAAAGTGCCCGAGACAAGAGCAGGCTGAGCAGACTCAGCTCGTCGTCGGATAGAGACACGTTAGCCTCGCCAGGTAATAATTGACCAGAACAAGTGCTGCTGGATATTTACAAAAATAGCTCTGGTTTGTGTATTTATAGAAGCTGTGTCCGACTGAGAGAAGAGTGTTTGAGATCCTGGCGTACCCTATAACTTACCCGCCATTTAATAATAGCCACGTAATTGCTACCCGGATCTCACAGCAATGATCTAGGTATAGCGACGTTGTGCATTATCCCTCTAGAGACAATTAGTTGGTTCACGGTGTTGTGTAGCATTCCGTTTGAACGCTTATTCGCTGTCATTGATGTCTACACGGTATAGTTTCAGGTCCATCTCCTCGCTATAGCTAGTACACTGTCCTTAAAACATTTATGCACACGACTAGGACGCACTAGTCCAATAGCTACTGTATTCATTAATGCTGAGGCAGAAGTGTGGATTTTTTTGGATCGGATCTAAAATAACTAGTGGCGTGCATCTTTCCACAAAAGACGATTCAATACGGTTTTCGATTCGTCAGGTGTGAATCAGGGACGGTTCGATTTGAAAGTGTAATGATTCGATTCGGTTCGATACAAAACACATGACATGTTTTCCCACATTACAGAATGCCACACTTTGAAATATGTGCAGGAATCTTGCAGCTAACATTGAGTATTCATCGCGTCTTCGCCTGCGTACCGAACCTTATTTTCAGTAACGCCGTGATTGGCTGTTGCACACAATACTGGCCATTAATCAAACAAAATGACATCACTGTTTCTTTATATTATTTCATGTCTCACTGCCAAGCAACTCAACGTTAGTATTTCACAACACAAAAATAGCTACTATGACAACATCAAAAAAATTAATAACAATAATAAAAACTTTACTTTTAGAAATCCGTGCCTCAAAGGAGGGGGGGGATAAGCATCTTGGTGGGCGAGCACTGAGGCATACAACACAGCCAGCTGTCTTAACTGGCTGGATTGAATTGTTTACCACTTTTAAGGGTCAACCAAGATAGTATTTAGCTGCCAACACAACCACCTTCTGTCCTTAAAAACAAAACAAAACACAACAAAACAAAAAAACTTCTCGTCCTCCATCCTCTGTCAGTCCCAGGGACGGTATGTCCATCACTGTGATTAAAGACAGTTCACTCAGCCAAAGAGAATGTCAAATGTACTTTAATGTACTCAGTTTGACTTTATGACATAAAATGCATTTATTCTTATTTGAGACCTGTGCACGATTTGATCATTTTAGGTTCAGACCATTAGATGAAGATTTTTTTATTTAAGTGATAAAACACCACTACATAAAAGGGTGTCCACACTACCATTAATTAAACATTCATGACCTTTCATATTTTTGTTTATTCTTGCAGTTTGTTTCCAAAATAATTGTATTCTATTGTACCATATGTTTATTTGATTGATTCAGCGCTATTATGCTTGGTTCAAACCAGGTCTTGTGTGCTTCTGTTCACCATGGAACTACAAGCGGGTTGTTTTGAGTGGAGAGGAAGAGGGGCTATACTGACAGTCAAAAAAAAGTTTAAACAATGCTTGTCAACCTGGTGGTGGTGGTTGTGTTATTACCTTGGCTGTGGAATGCTACTTTGGTTGACAGCTGGAAACAAGTTGTTGCACTCGCCGGATATGCTAACTTCCTGGTAAACAATTTTTTCCCTGAAAATGTATGTTACATATGCAATATGTTAGAAAATAAGTGTTGAAAACATACAACATACAATTTAGTACTAAATTGCTGAGATACAGTGCAGAACTCTCACCCTCTGAGTTGTGCGAATATTTGGCGGAGGGGCTATAATGGGGCCGGGCTGATGCAATGAAGGAACAGAATGAGTCGCTCCACCCTGAGCATATCAGTACACTGTGACCTCAATTCAGCTGTGGCACTGCACATTTTCCACTTCGCAATTGATAATAGCTTGGGCCATTTCTACCATTATGACGTGCAGTTAGCCATCAAGCTAAGCCTACAACCTGGGAAAAAAAACATATTCCCTGAAGTGCTATTTGTTATTTGAGCTATGTCTCTGCAGTGACGACTCTGGCTAAGCATGTTCTAGGGTTTGGCCACACAAATATGATGATGAGGCTAACTAGGCTTAAGTGTGGCAATGAGATTTAAAATAAGATAATAAAACATTTATTTGTCTCACAATGGAGAAATTCCCAATTTACAGCAACAAAATTATGAAAGTGGGAAAGTAGAAGACAAAAAGTATCTAAATATATAAATATTTGTGTCCTGTTTAGCCTCATTGACTAAGAGATTTCAGCACTCTAAAGTGTAATCATTGTGATTGTATACATTTATTGCCATATATATGTTCCTTGGTGGAATGTTGTTTGCATCATCATTCTACCTTCATAGAAAATTCAACAAGATAAAATTCTGATATAAAAGTGAATACCACTCTCCATTGGTCTTTTTAGGCATCAACAATGGGGACATCAACCACTTCCCAGATGATCCTGAGTTTGCGGATATTATCCAAAGGGCTGAACAAGCCATTGAGGGTGGTGTCTTTCCAGAGAGGATTTCGCAGGGCTCCAGTGGGAGTTACTTTGTTAAAGACCCAAAAGGGGTAAGGAAGGCATTCATTTGTGACATTCAATAATGACACGAAAACAGTATCGATATATTTTTAAGTGCTCTTTTAAATGCAGACCATGTCTCCACCCTTCCCAAAAAGAGAAATTGTGAAATATTATTTTTGGAAAATTCATGGAGAAAAAGATTGTTGTATCAAAAAGAGAGAGCCATCTTGCAGCATGTTCACGACAGAGAGATTGTATGGATCCCACTCTTATTTGCAGCGTCTATGGCACTCAATAGTCACCGCTGCTGGTATAACTTCACTTGAATCTTTTGTTCTTTTCTCAACTTTCTATCTATCTGTGGTGTTTGGGTTTTTTTTTGTATTTTGCCAATGGAAGTCAACATCACTCATTCTGTCTTCAACAGAAAGTCATCGGTGTTTTCAAACCAAAGTCAGAGGAACCCTATGGTCATCTGAATCCCAAATGGACCAAATATTTTCACAAGGTAGTCATGTTAGAGTACATGGTTCATCGTTCTGTAGCTCTTCAGTCATACAGTACATAAGCAGATAAAGTGCATCTCCATTGTGTGTCTTTCTTTAGCTCTGCTGTCCATGTTGTTTTGGGCGGGGCTGCTTGTTGCCAAACCAGGGTTACCTCTCAGAGGCTGCTGCTTCGCTAGTTGACAGCAAACTGGGCCTTGGTGTGGTGCCAAAAACCAAGGTTAGACTCTCTCATGTGTATCTGCATACAATAAATCGTGTTTTTTTTTTTCTTTACGAGCTATAGTTTTAGCAAGTGAACTGAGTGGTTGTTTTCTTCTGTCAGGTGGTGTATTTGGCCAGTGAGACCTTTCATTACAGTGCCATAGACAGAGCCAAATCCAGAGGGAAGAAGTACGCTTTAGAGAAGGTGCCCAAAGTCGGACGACGCTTCCACAGAGTGGGCCTGCCACCAAAGGTAATACTACCTCCTCCTTATATCAGTGCTTCCCAAACTTTGTGCACCCCCCCTTTTTTTGGGGGGGGGGCGATCTGAAGTAAAGCTTCAAAAGTATGTGATCAGAATTTCATATTGTATGTCTGTGCTCCCTAGCAAGTGCTAGAGCAGTGTTGCCCAACCCTTATTGAGTCAAGGTACATTTTTCACACTGGAACATATTTCATGGCACCACTTAGCAAAATGACTCACAAAAAGTGGATATACATTATTATTAATTATCCATGATTGAAGGTACATTATTAACCAATTATGCACCTTCAATAATCTAATAGAAGACCATTTTAATTTTTTGCCTGCTACTATATGTGATCGGCATAGATTAAAAAAAAAAAATATATATATATAGGTATAAATAGTGTTTTTACAGAAAATCATTGAAAATTCATTGTCTTTTTTCTCCTCTTTTAATCCTTTTTTATTTAATATTGCTTTTGAGAAGCGTACTGAGACATTAGTTCCCCTCATTTTTCAATGGTAGTTAACCAAAATCTGAGTATACAAGACCTTTCAGTGTTACAGTCTTTTGTATAGGTAATGTTTTGTATAGAGCACTTAGACTGTATTATATTTGCTTGTGAAAACGATGCTCTCAGGAAGTAAAATGAGGAAGTTGGCTGACATATCTTCCATTTGATGTCATAATTACACACAGTTAAAATGCAAATGCTGAGGGACAATGATGCAATCCTGGGTATTTTTATATCTTGGTTTAGGTGGGCTCATTTCAACTGTTTGTGGAAGGTTATCGTGAGGCCGACCATTGGCTGAGGCACTTTGAAGCAGAACCCCTGCCAGAGAACATCAGAAAACAGCTACAGTCACAGTTTGAGCGGCTGGTGGTGCTGGATTATGTAATCCGAAACACAGGTGTTTGTCCATGCAAGAGTGTTCACTGAACTACAATGCAAAATGACATTGCTTTAGTTCATTGTCATATTATTTTCTTATTGCTCTCTCTCTCTCTCTCTCTCTCTCTCTCTCTCTCTCTCTCTCTCTCTCTCTCTTTCGCTCTCTCTCTCGCTCTCTTTCGCTCTCTCTGTTCCTCCCTCTCTCTCTGTTGCTCTATGTTCCTCTCTCACTGATTCTCTCTGTCTCGCTCTTGCTTACCTAACAGGTTCAGTGTGGGAACTTTTCAAACGTCTGTGCTAGGGATACAACAAGAACGGCGATAGCACATTGCCACGGTGCCGCCGTTGTCATGTTACATAAAACAAAAAAAACGTTACTTTTCGCCCGCTGCCAAACACAGCATTGTGAACTACATAGAGCATGTTTATTCTGTTGCACCAATAAGAACACATGACGTTACAATGACTGTTCCAGCCTACATCTTTGTCATTGCTGTTATTATGTACAAAAACATAATATTGTGCGTTTTGGTTTTTAAATATAATTACTGTACTTTTTTTTGTAAACAATATAGTGGGTTTTTATACAGTATTGGGAGCTATATTTTTAAACTCCCCAGAATATCGTGATAATTATCGTATCGTGAGGTTCATATCGTGATGATATCATTTTGTGACATTTGGATATTGTTATATCCCTAATCTACTGTACTGAAAAATCTCACAATACAAATTTGTGTAATTTTTTCCCATTAATTGTCTGCAACCCACTTTTGGGTCCCAACCCACAAGTTGAGAATCGCTGCTTTATTCTATCTTCACATAAACATGCCTTAATGAAATCAATTCCTTGTCAGATCGAGGAAACGACAACTGGTTGATCAAGTATGAGAAACCAGGCGAGTGCGACGGACCAAAGGTGAGTCTAATCGTCGAGCTAATGTCCCTTTCATCTTGTGCATGCTGGCACTTTAATGGCATTTGAATTAAATGTCTCTGGAACCCTCTACAAAATGTGCATTTTTACTTTTATCTATTTATTGATTACATTTTGTTCTATTGGCAGTAAACAAGTTGGGTCTGATGTAGTTCCTCCCTCTGCTGGTTATTCAGAAGTATTTTAATGCCATTTGCTGCTGATGACAAAAAAGCTCTTTTGATAGGCCTGAACTACTGTATTTAGAAAAATAAAGTTCTTGAGATTTTTTTTACCTCAGTGTTGCAATTACAATTTAATATCCAATTATTTTTTCAAGGTCCTCTGTTCATGTAACACATTAATCTGTATTGCAGTAAGTAATCGTAGATTTATTAAATAATTGTTTTGGTTTTGAAGGTTACATGTACACTAAAATAATGGCAAATGAACCACGGATTCATAAGAAATACAGATTATCTACTTCCATTAGAGTTTTTAATTTACAAAACATTTTGACTAGACGTCTTAAGCATTCACTGTGACTTCACAAAGGTACCAAACAAGAGTGACGTCAACATAAGTCATCAAGTCATAAATCAGATTACGACAATAATTCACACAAATCAATGGCTTTATCACTTCCAACTTTTCCTGTTTCATGAAATAATGAAATCTATACATGTTGACTGCACTGCACCAGATTCCAGTGGGTGCCAGAATGATGTGACTACTTACCATCAGTCATTATTATCCACATATCGATTAACAAGCACTAGGCTGTTCATCTGTCTGGCCAGTTAATCAGGCCTTTGGACAGCAACCAATAACTGATGGTGGCGTCAGTCATTAATAATTGAGTCTCTTCTCACTCCAGGATTCAGAATGGCAGGAGAACAGTTCCCAGCCTTGCATCAAGATCGCAGCCATTGACAATGGCCTGGCCTTTCCCTTCAAACACCCTGATGAATGGAGAGCCTGTGAGTTGGACCTTTTTTATGGATCCCTTCTTGATGATGTTTTGCATCAGTGATCTTTCCTGAGGAAGTCATTATGCAAAGTTACAATCATGATTATCATTAACCCCCTATTAGTTGGCACTGGGTCATTATGGTCTTTTTTTTATTTTAAATTAATAGACACAGTGTGCATGATGCTATTTTTGTTTGGTGGTCTTTTAGGTGTTTTATCTCAATCTTAAAACTTAAACACTTGAATAAAACTATTTATTGAGACCAAATATTGTGAGTTTATGCTTTTCTCTTTTCAGACCCCTTTCACTGGGCGTGGCTCCCCCAGGCCAAAGTGGCTTTCTCCCAGCAGACCAGAGAGCTGGTGCTGTCCCGCCTCTCGGACATGAACTTTGTGCAGGACCTCAGTGAGGATCTCTATGAGATGTTTATGGTACAGAGCAATAGTTTATCTTTTACAAATTCAATTTTTATTGTCAATGTTACCAGATATAGACCAGCAGAGAGATGCTACAATCTGTTAACACTAGTAGGGAATCAGCTAACATTAGTCAATCTCTTCTTGTCAGAGCGACAAAGGTTTTGACAAGACCATGTTTGAGAAACAGATGTCCGTCATGAGAGGCCAGGTGAGTTTCCTGTTGTCTCTCTTCAGCCTTTAGGCTCTCGTTTCCTCCCCTCTCTATCCGGTGTTTATCTGCTGTGCTTTATTTTTGGGAATGTCTCATCTCGGGCTGGAGAAAAAAAAATCAACCAATTAAACTACAAAAATGGTCCATAGAATTTTTTTTGCCCAGAGGCATTGCCAATACCATTTTAGGCCATCCACACACACGTTTCCTGACCACATAAATCCAATGTTTCTATACATAGAGACTGAATGCTCTATGTACGGTGTACAAAGATTGTTTCTCCTGAAATTGTCAAAATCCTTGGAATTTTGCCGTCTCAATTCTGGATTTCGGCCTGGTGTCCAGTGGCTAGCGCGGCAACCTCACAGTGCAGAGGCACCGGGTTCGATTCCAGCTCCGGCCTTCCTGTGTGGAGTTTGCATGTTCTCCCTATGCCTGCATGGGTTTTCTCCGGGTGCTCTGTGGGCCACTGTTAAGCCCTGCCATTTTTGCTTTATTTTGCGTTCCCCTAGGCCGGAAACAGCCACAAAAAATAATGTAGCTATCCGGGTCTGGCCATGGGCATTGAGTTCGTTACATGGTTTAAAAATCGCTTTTGTATTTCTGAATGCATTCTAGTATGCAGCACTTTAATGAGCATCAGTTAAGGCATGTTTTCTGCTAGCTGTCAAATGTAATTTTGTTGTGTCCCACACACCCCACCTTCTAGCAGTATGGTTGTTAATTACAATAACAGTGGGGGGGTTAATTTATTAAAAATGTAATGCAGCCAACTTGGCAATAACTGAAATTCTGTTACCATTAAGTGTTGCCTTTTGACAATTGAAATTGTTTGTGAATGTAATCTATTTGAATGCTGTGTGTACCAGGTATTGAATCTCACCCAGGCTCTTAAGGATGGCAAGAGCCCTCTACAGCTGGTGCAGATGCCTCGCGTAGTAGTGGAGCGGAGCCGGTCAGGTGGCCAGGGCCGAGTGGTAACCTTGGGCAACGCCTTCACTCAGACCTTCCACTGCAAGCGACCATTTTTCTCCTCTTGGTAGAGAGGGAACATCAGCCACTGGTGTTTTAGGTTCCATCAGGGAATGTTTTGAAGAAGTAGGATGAAGAATGTTTTTTCATAACGCTGGTTGTGATGGAAATGTGTGATCAGCATATGACCGCTTGAGAGGATGACATTCCATTGTTTCCGAGAGAGACTGGGCCTATATGGGGTTGTCAGGGTTACTTGATTGGATAATCAGCGTGAATGGGCTTTGTTTTTTGCGTCAATCACAATTATCCTATTCACAGATTTTACAAGTGGGTCAAAGGACTAAAAAGAACAGTGTACAACACCTCTGTGGTCCGCAGATGTTTGACATTCTAAGTAAAATAATGGGCATTTCTAGAAAAAAAAACATCAAAAAATCGTCTCTTTGCCTTGTATGGAGACTTACTGAGATTTGAGAATTACCGGTACAGTATATGATAGTGTCACCAAAATTGATTAACCCAACGTTCCTTTCCCAAATTTATTGAACATACACAAAGCCAGTGTCACCAACCATTACAGTACTACTGCCAAACCCTTGTCTTCAAAAGGACTCTTGAAAAGCCTCAAGAAAAAAAAATACTCTTATTGAAACTTGAATTTAAGCCTGGGCGGAAGAGGAAGACGACTTGGAATAACCATATTGCTTGAATGTAATGTTTACTCTTTGTACTCTTGTTCTAATACATTTCACAGGGAGTGAATGCTGTCAAAAACAATCTCACAACACTGAATGTATTTGTTCTTTGACATGTATTTATTTACCTCACAGCATGGAGAGCCGCACCACTGTCACCCCTCTGCGACTTATTGTTTAAAGAAAGTCAAAGCTGTGTATGTATGCTTCTTGACATTTTTATTCCAACATGATTGTATGAGCAGAGTTGTATATTTAACAAAATTAATAAGATCTGGGAGCATTTCATCTGCGTTTGGTGGGGTTTTGTAGCTTTTCTGATCGTTGTCTCATCCTGGTCAAGAAGAAAAACATGAAAACTCCTTTACTGTGCGACATGGGGAATTACATTTACATTTTTTAGGTGAGAAATTAAATACTAAACCATCTCTGATGATGAAGCTTTTGTTCCTTTTTAGCAGTATGACTGTAATGTGCCCGTACAGTGTGGCACTCACCATATTAAAAATGGTACTGTATAGGAAACGGGTCGTCTTATATTGTGGCCTCAGTAAGCAGCAGTCGCCATCTTGTGGCTATACCTTTGATGACCGAAATATACTTGTGCCTTTTCACTCTTAATGTGCCTTTCTGAGCTCAGTATATCATGCATTTTTATTTTTTAATTCAGGGTTTTGCCCATACTTTTAAGTGAATATAAAATTACTGACGCTTATAAATCAGCATGAAAGCCCTTGTCAAATTTTTTCAGACTTGCAAATTCTGTTTTAACAGTTTTCCATTGTTTGCTTGATTCATGATGTGTAATATAATAGTATATTTATATCTTTAAAGATCTATCCATTCTATACTGCTTATAGAATTAGTGTCTGAAGGTGAGAGGTGAGGTGAGCCTCGACTGATCGTCAGCCAGTCGCAGGCACCTACAAACAAACATTCATTTATGCTTATATTCACATCTACGCACAATTTAGAATTACAATTAACACAAAAAACATATTTTTGCAATTGTGGAGGAGGCCAGAGTACATACAACGCGCAAATGATAATTAATCCAGTCACTTATGACCTTTAATTTCAACACGTACTTGTGCAGAGGTAACACTTAAGCGATGTAATCTTTCATATACTAAACTAATATTTCAACGATCACATACAATGTTACAGCTTGTAACATTGTAATCGCTGACCATTCCTTACCGTGAGTATGTGGTGGCCAGTTGGATTCTGACTGCAACGACGAGACTAGGCATGCAGGATACCACCCCACCACTCAAACCGACCCCATTGCCCACCTATCAGCTACACCCATGATTCCAGGTTCTTGTTTCTATCTATAAGTGATGTTGAGTCTGCAGACCTTTTTTTCAGGGCTTGACAACTTGACAAGAGTTTGTATTTCACTGAAATTAACGTCACCGTCTTCCCGCAACTTCAGCATGATTACCCAGCAACTTTTATTCACAGCAGCCTTTCTCTGTGCTTTTAACCTCACCGGAGCCGTATACCGTCCCAGCTGCCTCACCCGGTGCGACCCGAACTCCTGTCCAAGCCCCATTTCTACAGCTGGATACGTCCTTGACCGATGCAACTGCTGCAAGGTATGCGCACCTGGAGAGGGCGAGGACGACCCCTGCAGCCGCAATCCTTGTAAGGACGGCATGGTGTGCGTGCGACAGGGCTCCAAGGGGATCTGCCGCTGTAAGGTGGGATATATGGTGTGTGGGAGCGACGGGAAAACGTATGGAAATGTTTACAAGATGAGAACAGCCAACCGCAAGAGGAAAGGGAAACCCGCAGTCCACCAAGTGCACAAAGGAAATTGTGCTCTTTCAAGTGCAGGTACTAGCAAGCCGTTCGAGTATTTATTCGATATTCCTTACGCTGAATTGTCCACGTACGAGTACACAAGTTGACTTAATGACGTTGTGTTGCTGGAAACGGTTTTTTTCCGACTACATATTCCTACAAACAGAAAGGGCGCATATAGAACCACATCCAGAAGTGTACACAGTACAGTAGTACCAAATTCAGGACCCTCATAGGTAAATCTTCTGAAGGACCCTCACTGCACCCTTAAGCCAACCTTGCCCCCCCCCAACGCCGCTGCAATCTGTCGCTAAAGTCTTTGTCCATCGTGAAGTTTTTTTTGTTTGGTTTGTTTTTACTGTGGTTTGTGAATTAGGTAGTTTTATGCTTGAGTTTATTGAGGAATTAATAACCCCCAAAGAAGACTAGAATAAACGCAACTATTAGATATATTTTTTTCCCCCACAGATTACTCCAAACAGTTGTCAAGGCTACGGTACAATGAATTTGTTCGGCATAAGTACTCTAGTAGCTAGAACATTTATACCACTAACCCAATGTTTTACTTATCAATATAATCAACAAATAATAGCCGTGTTTTTAAAATGAGTAGGTTGATAGTTACAAATAGTTGCCGACAGTCATTTCGCCTTCACCTTAGAGGACTCTTGATTGTCTGGAGTACGCTCAAAATTGTGTACTGTATTACAACTGGATGTCTTGAGTCAGCACTGGCATGATTGTGAGAGGCATCAATGGTCTCTTTGTACAAAATAGCAAAATGTCATGGCTGTGGCGAGCTTCAGTACCACAGCTCATATGCATAGTCTTGAGTAAACTGAGGACAAGCCTGAAGTATTAATTATTATTATTATTATTTTTTTAAAGCAAGACAAGCAAATGTTATGAGCATTGTTTGTTTTGTATTGTCCACATTGGCATCCAATTTCAGCTGTGTTTTAATTAACCACCGATTTCTCAGCGATGTTAAACTCACTCGTGATTACATGAACAGTGAACAGCCACTGCACCCAGTCCCTCTGCTACTGCGGGCGATAGGGACCGGGCCGCCCAGCGAAGAGCGAAAACCCACGTAGAGGCCTACGTTCGCATTGCGGGATGTGATGCCCAATTCAGAGTTCTTGTTAAATCAGCAGTTTGAAATGCTGCAATAACTCGGGGCAACTTCAGCCCGCATATTCATTCAGAAGATGTAGTCTGGTCCTAAATTCATTTATTGTGTACGAGTTGGAAATTAATCAGTAACAGTAATGAAACTCATCATTCATATCCTATCATAATGTAATTTGGGGAATAAATAGTGTGTATGTATGTATTGGACTGTGTGTTTATGCATGTAAATACTGACATTTAGACTGAAATATATGTCAATATAGGTACCAGCAGCCCCCGCTACAAATTCAACTTCATCGCTGATGTTGTGGAGCAAATAGCACCAGCCGTTGTCCATATTGAATTGCTCCTAAGGTATGTGCATTTATGCAGTATGTTGTGAGTATGTAGCAGACATCACTTCTATCAGTCATGCATCTTCCATACATTACACGAGCAGGGCACATACAGCGAGAGATTGCAATTTAGTCACTAAGTGGGAACTGAACCACTCAATGAACTTCACTGGGATTTCCTCTCAGGAAATCAAGCGATTGAACTACTTCACAATTACTGCCTCCTTAACAAATATACATCCATGCTCTGTACAGGTTAATCTCACCAGAGTCATGGGTATGCTGGAGGCTAATCTCAGATGATTTTGGACATTAAGTGGTGCAAACGGCAAACTGGTTGCCAGCCCATTGCAGGCCATAAATAGACAAACATTCACCGTCACATTCACACCTACGGACAATTTAGAGTTTTCAGTTAACCTACCATGCATGTTTTCGACACATGGGAGGAAACTGGAGTACTTATAGAAAACCCACAAAGGCACAGGGAGAACAGGCAAACTCCAAACAGGAAAAGGCGCACCTGATCAATAATAGCTTACATCTCCACTCAATTGCGCTAAGTGTTGTGAAAACATTTGCTTTGAAGCACTAGCTATTGTTACTGTATGTGCTTGTCTGTTCCTCAAGTTTGCAGTTCATTGAGGGTAATGCCAAACATTAATGATTACACATTGAGAGTCTATGAGGCACTGTTTTACAGACCCTTAATTTTTACTAAACAATACAAACTATTGTTAATTGTTTTTTAAGTATTTCTTCATTCTAACACCATACCTTTTGTCTTACAATGATTTTTAAGTCAATTGTCAATTGATGGATTTTGTCTAAATGGCGAAGTTTTTTTGAAAATATATTTTTTAAACTACATGTGAGAATCCACACGTGCCAAACTGCAAGTATGTAGGGGTCCACTGTGTACAGATTGTATACATTGTACCGCATTATTTTTCCTCTCTCTATTCTTTCCTCAGACATCCTCTCTTTGGCCACCACATGCATCTTTCCAGTGGCTCGGGTTTCATTGTGACCCACTCTGGCTTGATAATAACCAATGCTCATGTGATAACTACCAGTGCCGTGGTGATGGGTCAACTCCAGTTGCATGTTCAGCTCCATGATGGCAGCGTGTATGAGGCTGTGGTCAGAGACGTAGACAGGAAGGCTGACATTGCCACCATCAAGGTCAACCCTCAGGTAAAAAAAAGAAAAAGAAAAAAAGAAAAAGGAACAAAGCACTATTAATGCAAGTGAGTATTGTTTGAACTTGCAGTACACTGTAGTGTACCAACCCGTCTATAGCAACTGCTCCCATCCTTTTTTATGTCGCAGACCACTTTCAATAGAATAATATTTTTGATGAAATGGCACGAAAACAATTAAGAACAAATGCTTAAAAATACAACTTATCCTCATGCTAAATTTACCGTAGTTGTTGTAATTAAGCCGTGTTCAGACTGCAGGCACGTGGATCTGATTGACATCAGATTCCTCCTCAAATCTGTGTTTTCATGGCTGACTGTCCACACTGATTTTAGCAAGTGTCCAAATTTGATCCGGCCGACATGCTTTACACTGGTGGATTTACCTGATTTTCAAAATAAAACCTTCTTTGAACTCTGATAAATAGCTTCAGTTCAGTCTCTCTATATGGTCCTGTATTAAATAGCCCACACCAGTAGCGTTCCATGGCCCAGTTGTTGGAGACCATTGGGCTGGTGTATCACACTTCACACTGCCAGGTTCTGAAAGTGGTTTGCAAGACCTTCAGAAGGCTAACAGCACTATGTCCATAAACAGCAGGACTGTGACGCTGACGTGTGTATTATCACACCCATACCTGACATACTTCATCTTTGGAAGCTTCCTTCCCACCAATTCTCTGACATTTATTCTGTGTCATTTTTGCTCTTTGCCTTTCAACGTTTGCTCAAAGTGTGTCTTGATGTGTGAGCAGAAGAAGCTCCCTGCGCTGCCTCTGGGTCGGTCAGCTGATCTCAGACCAGGTGAGTTTGTGGTGGCCATAGGCAGCCCCTTTGCCCTGCAGAACACAGTCACCACTGGCATCGTCAGCACAGCACAGAGAGATGGCAAGGAACTGGGCATCCACGACTCTGACATCGACTACATCCAGACAGACGCCATCATTAATGTTAGTGTCTGCCCGCACACGCTCATTCATAACATTCTGATTGTTTGCGCAAATGCCGAAATAAAAATTGGCATTGTTTCTCCCTTTTATCGACTTATGTGACAAGTATGGAAATTCTGGAGGACCCCTTGTTAACTTGGTGAGTATTATACGGGCCATTTCAAAAACCTCATCTGTACTGTAGATACTTACTTACTTAGATTATTACTCATTCAAAACTACAGGCAATTTAGAATCTTCAGTTAACCTGCCAAGTATGTTCATGAAATGTGGTAGGAAACTGTAATACCCAGAGAAAACACACAGGTATTGGGGGAACATGCACAACTCCACACCGGCGCATGGAATTCAACCCACAACCACAGAACCGTCAGGCAGATGTACTCACCATTTGGGCATTGTGCCGCTGCAAATTAATCTTGTTATTCAGTATTTACCTTTTTAACCCAGCCGCTGGGGGGCAGTGCCCTCCCCTGGGGGTGCACTGTTCCCCAGTGCCGGTCCCAAGCCCGGAGAAATGGGGAGGGTTGCGTCAGGAATGGCATCCGGCGTAAAACTTTTGCCAAGACGACCATGCGAGTTGGTAGGACGGTTTAGAGGGGCGGATGGAAATTACTGACTCGCTGTGGCGACCCCTGAATAGGGACGTGCCGAAAGGAGAAGAAGAAGAAGATTCAGTATTTACCTTTTTGTGAAAAAAGTACAAAAACAAAGAAAATTATCTACAATTAAGATTTTACAGTATACAATTGTAGTTTAGTTGTAGTTTGAAAAAAAAAATCCATCCACATTTCCTTCCCTTTATTATACAAAAACAGGACATTATTTCAAATTGATAGTGCAGAAAATGCAGAAACTATCATGATTCAGGTACTGGGTTGGTCCGATCATGATTATTGGCCGATCGATCACAGCACCACTGGCAATTGTTTGTCTTTTGTAACTTGTGATTGGCTGGCAACCAGTTCAGCATGTACCCTGCCTCTTGCCCAACGTAAGCTGTGATAGGCTTCAGCTAATTTGTGATCCTGATGAGGACAAGTGCAATAGAAATTGGGGGGGTGGGGAGAATGAGGCCATAATTACTGATGTTAATATCAAGTCAAATGAAGTGAAATGGCCTTGAATTTTCCTCAAGTGTGGACGAGTGGGTGTAACTTGGAACTTTCTGTACAAAATACCACATTAAATACAGTCACAAGTGATCAATGTGTCTGCAGCAAATCATGATGGAAATGCCGATTCTCTCACGGGGCGTTATGAAGTGCATGTTTCAATTTGTTTCAGGATGGCGAGGTGATAGGCATCAACACTTTAAAAGTGACAGCGGGCATCTCCTTTGCCATACCCTCGGACCGAATCAGGCGTTTTCTTGCGGAGTCAGAGATTAAATATTCCAATGAATTTGGGTCAAATTCTGAGGAGAGTCAAGGTAAGAAATGCGTTTCCTGTGAAGAGTTAAACCCGTTTCTAATAATGGAGTCAGTACATTGTATCAGTGTTATCTCCTTTGTGACAGATCCCACTACACCTTCAAATGGCTTGACAGAGATGGCAGCGTCAGAAGCAGGTGAGCTCCACAAGCCTGAAACTTCTATTTAGTCTTAAAGCATTTGCTAATTACTGTACTGTATTCTCAGGAGTACTTGGAGGGAAGAGACGTTTATTGGGCATTACAGTGCTTACAATTACCTAAGTGTGAAGATACCGATACTGTATACGGTGATGCCATACGTGTATTGGACTATATGCTGTTTTTTTTACTTTGACATTTCCTGGAAACACAACAAAAAGAACAGGATGTTATATATTTTTTGTACTAGTGGACTTTGTAGCATTAGTGCTGCGTGTTTGCTTGCTTCAGTCTCGCAGTAGCACGGCAATATCACAAGTTGGATTTTCCTGACGTCAGCAGAGGTGTTATGGTCCAACAAGTCATTATGCAATCAGAAAAGTTTGTTCACACTCACATGCACATATCAAAGAAAAGACACACACAAGTTGGAATTCACCTTGCTGAGCAGCATTTCAAATGTAGCTTCACCTACTTTAGGGATGTCACATTGTTAGGTGCCATAATGGTGGTATGATGTATAATCGCGAGCGAATAAGTTCAAATTCCGGTTCAGGCTTTCCTGTGTGGAATTTGCTTATTCCCATTATGCTTTGCGGATTTTCTCCATGTACTTCCTCCCACATTCCAACATGCATCTTAGGTTCATTCAAGATTCAAAATTGCTCATTGGTGTCAGGGTTAATGGTTGTTTGTCTACTGTATACTACTGCCGACTAGTCCAGTTTGTTCCTTACTTCTTTGCCCCAAATCAACCCTCAACCCAAATGAGGACAAGCGCTATTGAAAATGGATGGATAGATATTGAAAGTGTACGAACTCAGATGTATGTGTAAACAAAAAGGGGAAAGGTTTTTAATTGTGAAGTTGAATGGTCAAGCACTACAAAACAAGGAGGACATCTATGAGTGCCTTTGTATGATGCCAAGGTTAAATAATATTTATAACGATGCATGGTTAAAAAATGATGAGTATTTTTTTTTTTGTTTGCAATGCATGCTTTGTTTTTTAATAAATACATCTTCCAAAGGACAATGTTTACTGTCCGTGGAAATGAAACCACAGCTGCACATCACCTGTAAAAGTAACAAATTTGGCTTTTTTGTTTTGATCATCCCACATTTTTTTCTTTGTCCTCATCATTTTATTTTCACCTCCCTTTGTTTTTTTTTCAACAACATTCTTGCCTTGCCTCCTTGCTAAATTTGCAAATTGCTGAAGACATAAATGTCAGCTATCAGATCTCAGAAAAAAAGGATAAACACAAAAGGCGGGCGGGGTGATGGCTCAGGGCTTGTTACTCTGCTGCTTCGTTGGTCTCACAACAACAAGCAACTGTCCATCAAAGCATGAACACAACTTGCACCCTGCAGACTTACTGTTTTGTTGTTTCTGAACACTGTACTCAGGCCGAGCGCACTCGGCCAGCTGTGTGCTCGTCAGGCCCTTGGCGTGTGCATGCTCGTGCGCTTGGGCATGCAAGGCTGCCTTATAAATCAGCCTGTACCTATCTGTTAAACAGTAATATGCAATAATGTTGTGTTAAAAGATCGCTGTGTATTGGAAATTATGTCGGAATTAGGGCCTATGAAATTTCCCAAATGCCATCCCGCCCCTGGTTAAGTCCCACGCTGGACAAATTGGTTCCACATTGCCCAGGTAGGTGTTTCCATGTGCGACGTCTCCCTTGAGGCAGTGCTGCAATGCGTGTGTGCTTTGAAGTCCTTTGTGTGAGTGGGTGCTTGCGGTATTTTTAGTCTGGCGAAAGACATATGTATATTCAAATCATAGTGGAGCGCCAGAGCAAATACAGGAGACATGTTTGTCATTCAAGAAAAAAATTCCATATTATTGAGATCCACAATGATTTTTTCCCCCCACATAACTTGACAAACGAGATGTAAATCCTTTAACTAGCGACAGCATATGCACACTTGCACAATCTAATGACATGCAGCCAAAAGTTTTATGTAAAAAATAAGTCATACAAAATTATTTGTTTTGATTACCACACTCAGAGATTTATTGTTGTGGTACTAGTTTGTAGTGGTGTAGGACTGACGTGTATCACACTGCACGGTATTTCGAGCATTTTGATTGATTAGGTTTCCCCCTACACACAAAACCCACTCCCTCGCCACCATCACCCAAACAAGCGTAAAGTCAGGTTTCTGTATCTTAACTCTGTGGCAAAGTTTGCCTCTGAGCTATGACTACATGGCCATCTCGAGACCAAAATGTGTACTGTAAACTACTGCACGGCTCATCATTCCCAAAGTAGCCAATAGATGGTGTCGTGGATGTGCAGACCGCTTTCTGACATGGCTATAAATCAGGAAGTGAAATTATACTTTTTTTTGTTTTTTTTAACTCCATAAATCTGCTTCCAGGAAAGTATGACGTGCACAAGCAGCGTGTCTGTATAAAGCTGTCCAATCCCTGCAGAGAAATATGTTTTTATGATGTATTTTAATAAGCCCTCCTTGAGCTGTCAACGCACATTGTGGTGGAAAGGTGTATGTGTCCCAATGATCCTGGGACTGGGGTCACGGACAAAGCATCCAGTCTACCCAGTCTCACTGACTCTCACTTCCACTCACATTACAGACACGTGCATGATAGGTTAATTGAAGACTGTCAATTGTTCATAGGTGTGAATGTGACTGGCGACCATTCCAGGGTGTATCCCGTCTCTTTCCCAAAGTCAGTGGGTCCACCAACCTAATGTTGACAAGCCACCGAGAAAATGGATGGATGGTTTGGTTTGTTATTATGGACATTGGAAAGAAAAACATCCATTTATAGCAGCGTTGACATGATTCGTCTGGCCAGCAGCAGCAGCAGCTTAATTAATGCTCGTAAATATCATCTCTGTGCTCCTATAGAAGTCACCTGGCACTCAACGGTGACCAAAAGCAAGGAAACACATTATTCAACGAGACAATTATAGTATGTAACATCTTGGGGAAAGAGTCTACACACTGAGCTATCTGACATTACAGAATGACAGTATTAAAATAGAACTACAGAAGTAAAATAGGCCCTAACTACTTCCATCTGCCTCGATTGGGTGAGTCATGCACACGCGCACACAAACACACACACACAATTGTCTATCGCACACAGTGTAACGCAGACAAAGTAACGCACCATCTCTTGAAAAAATGTGGCTCCATGACTGCTCAATTAGTCTTGGAAAATACTAAGTGAGCCCATATGTTGAGTGCTCTCTAATCTACACTGCATAATCACAGTGAAGAATCTATAGTGTTTATAGCAGGGAGGGACAATTTAAATGTTCGGAGGGGCCACAATTTTTTCAAATTTTTTATTAGTGCTACTGGGGGACCACAAAGGACCACACACTTCCTAATCAGATGTATGACAAAGATGCTGTTTTTTAAAAATATGGACAAAATGTGTGGGTTTTCTCTGGGTACTCCGATTTCCTCCCACATTCCAAAAACATGCATGGCAGGCTGATTGAACACTCAAAATTGTCCCTAGGTGTGAGTGTGAGTGTGGATGGTTGTTTGTCTCTGTGTGCCCTGCGATTGGCTGGCAACCGGTTCAGGGTGTCCCCCGCCTACTGCCCAGAGATGGCTGAGATATTTTTGGCTTTTCCTATCCGTTTTCTCTCGTGATTATCCTCATTAAAGTTTCGGGTGAGCTGGAGCCGAGCCCAAAGTACTTTGGGTGAAGCACCCTAGCCTGGTCGCCAGCCAATATCAAGGCACATACGGTATAGAAAAACAGCCATTCACACTCACGTTTCAAACCTAAAAAATGTGAGTCAGACGTGCAGTCCACTGCTGCCCTGGAAATGGAATACAGTATAAAAATTATAATGACCTGCTCCAAATTCTCAGTGTGCTCGCAGACCTACTCTAGTAAAGTTGATGTAAAATTATTTATTTTGCTTTGAGCCAAACCATCTTCACAGCGAGACAAGCCAATGCTTTGCTTTGGTTTTGAACAAATTCCTCAAAACTGGATGGCCTCAAAATGACACCCACACACACAAATGCGTGGACATGCACACAGAGTAAACTGAGGCCAGAAATTCTTTTGTCAGAACTCCGAGATGACTAAATCCTGGGAGGCCTTCCTCTCTTTCTCAACTCCTCCTTTCTGGCAGACTGCTGAGTCACACTTTCGATGTCTCTATCTCGTTTTCCTTCTCTTCATCCTGCAATGTCTCACTTTCAAAACCCAATCAGTTCTCTCTTAAATTCCTCCTGCTTCAAATATTTCGTAGGATTTTAAATCATTCCGTGACTTTTTTTTAATCATGTGACCTCTGTGTGGGCTGTACGCATGCATTTGCATAAGCAATATAGTTGTAAGAGCTGGTTAAGTTCATTAGATGTGTGTGTGGGTTTTGGTAAAAAGGGTTCATCTTATGCCTGCTGCCTGTGTATACACGATAATAGTCGTTTTCTGCATGCAGGGCTCCAATTAGTGTTCTTGTTTTTCTATTTTTTTTGGGTCTCATCTTTTTTTGCTGCCCTTTCTTCCAGAGACCAAGAACCTATTACGGGATGTTTTTTGCCTAGCTGTAATTTTTGTTTTAGTATTACCACTTCTTGGTAGACCCCCAAGACACATTCCCAGAAGGCTCAAGACAAGAAACAGACGCAGAGATGATTGCAGAAAATATTTGGCAGACTGACCCGACAAAAAAAGAAAAAAAAAAAAAAAGAAAAGAAAATCTTAACCCAAGGGGCGGGGGGCAGGGGGGTGAAGAAACAAAAACACACCTAACTAAACTGCAATGACAACAGGGGTTCGGATAGCAAAATATGACCACTGCTTTCTTGGAAGAATGAAACTATCAACTTTAATGTCATATCAGTGGTCTGTGGCACTGTTTGAGAATTTTGGCATGTGTTATTCCACTTGCTTTGCACTTGTCTTTGTATGAAAATAGTTTAAAGCACTCTCGGTAAAAGAATAAATTACCATGAGGTTTATTTCTTAACTTCATGTAATTGTTGACCGACTTATCTGTGTGGTGAAGCCATATTATGCCACAATACTGTCGGCTCTGCGGGCCTCACTTTATCATTGAAGACCTTTGGGAGTGGATTGGTTATTCTACCTCATACTTAAATACTTGTGCAATGGAATATTTTGATCATCACAAGTTTATTATTGTTAAAATTTCATTCACAGTGTTTGTTGTTGATATTACTTGTTGTTCTTAAGTTGCTCGTCCGTCCATCCAGCCATCCACCACTGTTGACGCTGGAGTCTATCCCAACTGACTTTGGGCCAGAGGCAGTTTACACAACGGACTGGGTCGCCATCTAATCACTGGATTGTCGAGGGGTAGGAGGAGACACACATTTAAGTTTACATTTTGGTGAAAGTCCAGATGAAGGAAGAGATTGCAAAATTAATATTTTGCTTTTCACTGTTATGGTCCTCTTTGGTTCCCACCCTCACTTATGGTCACAGGCTGTTAGTTGTGGCCGAAAGAACTAGATCTTGGTTACAAGCGGTCAAAATTTGTGTCTGGGCTCTCCTTTAGCGATAGAGTGACAAACTCGTCATCTCAGAGTAGAGCCACTGCTCCTTCACATTGAGAGAAGTCAGATGAGGTGGCTCGGGCATCTGCTCAGGGTGCCTCTTGGACATTACCTTGGTAAGATGTTCTGGGCACGTCCCACAGGGATGGGGGCCAGGGGATGACCCAGGTCATGCTGGGATGTCTGTCTCGCAGCTGGCCTGGGAAGACCTTGCGATTCCCCTGGAAGAGCTGGATGAAGTGGTTGGGGAGAGAGAAGTCCCTGCTAAAACTGCTGCCCCTGCCACCTGACCCCAGATAAGTGGAAGGAAATGTGTGGATGGATGGATAAAAAATGCTAAATCTGTCGTATAGATACAGTAATAAGAAAAATTTATTAGAATTCTTCAAGATTTTTGGCATGGCCTGAACCCTTTATCCCACTTAAATAGATCCTCCCCTGCACAGAGACTAAAAGAGATGTCTGTTTCTATTTTAATTGTTTTATTCTCATCTTTGTATATCAAAAAGAAGTTCTGTGTAAAACCACTGTATTATTAGCTGTAGTAGTAGCAGTTGTCAGGGGGGTCACACGCACAGATTCCAACACCCACACTGTCACACTGCCCCCATCCCATTTTTGTTTCAATTTAAAGTAGCCATTTCAAATATTATTTAATTTTTGGTATTTGTGGCCTGCTAAAAAAAAACGAGCCGTAAATGGCCCATGCACCGTACTTTGGACACCCCTGCTCTAGATGGATACTGCAAACAGATAGCTAGACAGTATAAGAGCCAATTTCTCAATATTGGCGGCAAACATAGAGCATTGTACGTGTTATTGTTATTTTCGTCTTAAATTAGCATCATACAGCTACTCCACAACCAGACTCCTCCACTATCAGCACGTGACTGGGAGGGATGTAGCAAGGGAGAGCGAGGCAGGGCGGGCGAGCGAGAGTGACAGCAAGCGTGGCTGAAAACGAGTGCATCTGTGTATGTCTGCACATGTGAGTCTCTGCGTGAGTTGGGGTTCATGCACAGAGCACCCAACATCCATCTAATGCTATTGCTGTGGATCAAGTCAACCCCAGTCCCATGCACACATACATGCCAATCACATCTTTACAACACCTCACTCTTGGCTCTGATTCGACCTTGAACACACCCATCAGGGTGATCCTGTCAAAAAGCGTGACTCTTAAATGTCAAGCATACACCTGTGAGTGACGGCTGCTTGAGCTGAGGATGAACATTACCTGCAGGTGGGGTAAGATTGATTTGCGTGCAGGGCAGGTGGGCAGTGCAAAAGCCTTCCATATTGTGGTGCCGACCGTGGGAATTGCAGTGTTATGTAATGGCCCAACATACTCAGCATATGCATCGAGTCATACAGCCACGGGCAGTTTGTTGGGTGGACTCCTCGCCGTTCTAACAGCACTTCTTCAGTGCTTGTGCCATTAGCATTGTGTTGCTTGCATAACCGCATCCTCGGCTCTGAGAACCCAGAGGAAGCATGTGACCACAGAGAGGGTTCCTTAACACTGAGGGGAGGGGGAGACTATTTCTTGTCACTCCCTCATTTTTCCCTATATTTTTCTTCTTAGCAGCAAAGGGACTTTTTTCCTATCATTATTAAGTTGACATGGACAAGGACAACTGCTCCACTGAGGATAGTGACTGTCAAAAATAAAAGGGCAAGAATAAATCTGCTAGCAGTCTGTTAATTATTGTATATAAATGGCCCCTATGGGGGGACCACAGGGAGAAAAACAACATCTGGGCAGGTGCTTGGAAAAGAACTTCATGCCCACTAACAATCATAAACCATGTGTGCTACATACTGTACTGTAAGGAATAACCTGCCCAAACAGTCACATGCTCAAGCACGCTCACACTTGCATGCTTGAGGTGATGCACATGAGCTCAGCCATAGACAACGCACGTCTTTGCTAAACCGAACAGTCCCTTGAAAGCCAAAAGCACGAGTTCCCATATACTGTACGTGTGTTGTAGATATTCGGGGTATATGAGCAAATGCTGGCAAGTGGTTTGCTCAGCACAAATCAGGACGAAAAGGGATGAAATTCAAAGAGTTGTGAGCCCACCAGAGATTTTGCGTTGCCACGGAGACGAGCGAGTTACCACATTTCACTTGCTGTTTCCTGAACTCCATCTGTCATCATGGTCACGCTTAAGTTGTGGCCATGTTATCATGTTTTGTTTAATTGAAGCTTGTTAAGATTAGCTGTCAATGACACACAGCATACACATACAGTCATCAGGCACGACATTTGGTCCCCCTGCATGGGTAAATACGAACCAAGACGATAATATTGCTCACTTTCTTGACACCATTAGAGGTATTCATTTTTCAATATGTGCTTTACTCTATTTGGCGGTTCCATTGCACGGTATCATATTTGCTATTATTTTGGCTCTCACATGTTAATTGACATGCTTAATATGATGCCAGGGCATGTCTAGCCGCTGTAAGTAATAAACAATTTCGGAAATGAATATCCCATGAACAATTTTAGTCATAGTTGAAGATCATTATCTTTGCAAAGGCTGATCAGATGTTTTTCATGCAGCTCTATATGCATACCTTGTGTGTCTATAAATTGCCAAGCTTGTTGTTGCACTCCCGGGGAAGAAAAGAGCCCAAATGAGGGTGCAAACACCCCGACAAGCCCATATTAAGCGCTGCTTGCATGAATATTGTTCAAGCGTCACATGAGCCAGCAAGCGGCTGCACGTGCAGAGCGCACGGCATCTCCAGCGTGAGAGGAGGCGCCGGCTAGTGCGCATGTTTGAGAGCCACGAGATAGAAAGAGAGAGAGAGAGCAAGCCACCGTCCACACACTTTTCCTCTGGTGTTTGCTGCAGTTGGTTCACAATAGGTGAAAACGGATTCGGAGTCGCTGAGGCAGCTCATGCCAGAAGGGATCAGGTTTGGTGTTTCAGCACTGGACAGCTCTCCACTTGAGTACTTGATGTGGCAATCTGGCTCAGCTGATGGGAAGCTCAGACATGTAGGACTTTGTTCCACAAGTGCTGCCAAATTGGAGCCTCGAATGATGACCATCCCCGAGTTCCTCCTGGAAGTGTCCATCGTTGTGATGGCTGTTGTTTCCGTGGTGACCAACATGTCAGTGCTGCTGTGTTTCACCCAGAGCTCAGAGTTGAGGTCCCATGTCCCAGGAGTATTTGTCCTGAATTTGTCTTTTTCCAACATCCTCCTCGCTTTCATCAACATGCCCTCCACCTTTTTCGGTGTGGCCAAAAGCGGAGAGCCCTTTGGGAACTTGTTCTGCCAACTGGTCGGCTTTGCCGAGACTTTCCTCACCACCAACAGCATGCTGAGCATGGCGGCTCTCAGCCTGGACAGATGGATCGCCGTCATGTTTCCTCTGAGCTATTCCAGCAAGATGCGCTACCGGGATGCCATCCTGATGGTGCTCTACTCCTGGCTGCAGTCCCTCACATTCTCTCTCACTCAGCTGCTCATGGACTGGGGAGGCTACAACCCTACATACGCCTCGTGCACCGTTCACCTGACCACAGAGGGAAGGTCGCAGCTGGCCGCCTATGCCACCTTCACCGTGCTACTTCACTGCAGCAGCTTCACTTTCAGCCTGGCCGTGCTGTGCTTCTCCTACCTCAAAGTTTTGAGAGTGGCCAAGTCCCACTGCAAGAGGATCGACGTCATCACAGTGCAGACTCTGCTCCTGTTGGTTGACATTCACCCCAGGTACGGCACAAGCGTACATTTTGGGGCACGTTGAAATCTAATTGCTTGTCCGTTGTTGTGCCGAGAACATTCAGGCGATAGGATCAGATAAATATTTAATAGGTTCAAACATCACATGTGCATGAATCTTTCTTTCTTTGTCTTGTTAGTGTGAAAGAAAGGTGTTTGGCAGAACAGAAGAAGAGGAGGCAGCGGGCCACGAAGAAAATCTGCATTTTCATCGGTTCCTTCGTCTTCTGCTATTCACCGTATGTTATAACAAGGTAATGACCGGCTTTGTTTTAGTTTACCCACCTATTACCAACAACCCTAATGAGGAAAAGCTGAGTAGAACATGGATGGGGGATATACAGTATTGTGCAAAAGTTTTTGGCCACCACTATTTTCCTTCTTTTAGTGATGTTTTATAGCAAAAGTCATTTAGACACATTGGAACAGAAAACCTGTGAAAATACAAATGATGTTGAATTGCGGTCATTCCAGTTTGCATTTATATATCTTATGCAATTTGTACATTTCTTGCTGTGATTTGAGTTTCCTCAATTCTGCGTATTATGTAATAGTTATAACATGTAGCTTTAGAAATGATTCTGGGGTACATTTCACTCCATACTCCGCAAGTGAATCGATCTATGAAACCTCCCAATTTTTTATTTTTTGGGGGTTAGGCAATGAATAGTTTATCTTCAATAATAGCGCTCGTTGTTGTTCATCAACCAATGTTCTGAGTGTGCGCAGGGATATTTGCCCTATCAGGTGTAGCTTTTTTTTTTTTTTTGCACCAAGCATGCACATACAGAGCAGGAGACAATGTAAATAAAGTTAGTCCTTGTTGTATATTCAGTTACTCTATGTATTGCACCCCTTTTTGTTTTCTGTAATGTTAAGGATACCATTTTATGGAGAAGTGTACTTAAAATGATTTTTATATATATTATATGATTTGTAGTCATGTCAAATATTTTCCTCTTCCCAGGGGGACGTAAGAGAAAATAATTGAGAAGCATTGGGCAAATGAAACTTGATTATATTCATGTTATGTATTTTAAACTACATTTCATTGTGTATATAAATTACCCAGCCACACATTAGGTACACTTTTTTTTTTTTTTTGCACCAAGCATGCACATACAGAGCAGGAGACAATGTAAATAAAGTTAGTCCTTGTTGTATATTCAGTTACTCTATGTATTGCACCCCTTTTTGTTTTCTGTAATGTTAAGGATACCATTTTATGGAGAAGTGTACTTAAAATGATTTTTATATATATTATATGATTTGTAGTCATGTCAAATATTTTCCTCTTCCCAGGGGGACGTAAGAGAAAATAATTGAGAAGCATTGGGCAAATGAAACTTGATTATATTCATGTTATGTATTTTAAACTACATTTCATTGTGTATATAAATTACCCAGCCACACATTAGGTACACTTGCACATCCTAATGAGATCCAGTACAAGAGCTGTATCTGAAATAATAGAAACAAAACAATGCAGTCAGAGAGGTTTTCATTTAACAATACCATATCTACTGTATGGTCTATCACCGTACTGAAAAGTCTCATTGTGAAAAGTCTTTGTAATATTTTGTTTATTTTATTTAGTTACATGCGATAAGCAAAATGTTCAAAATAAGTGCTACACCAGCGCAAATTACAAAACAATCCAAAGCTCTTCTTTTCTCCTGCAGGTTAGTGGAGTTGTTGCCCTCTGTGCACATCCCGCAGTACTGGGGCATCACCACAAAATGTTTGTGCTACGCGAAGGCTTCAAGTGATCCCTTTGTCTACTGTCTCCTGCGACATCAGTACAGAAAGGTCCTGATACGTATCATCGCCTGCTTTTTGAGAAAGGATCATTACTTGCTGTCTGCCAGCAGCTGGAGCAGCACATTTGATACCACAGAGGACAATTGCGCCAGAACAACTTGAATTCAGTGTGCAGCTCCTTCTAATGAGGCGGCAACTTGCACCCCTTCTGCTCAATGTTTGTCTGGAAGTAGCTCCAGAGCAGATGGAAGGGAACCCGTACGTTGCTCAAGGACACTTTCACTGAGGGCTTGGTCATGTGCTTCGTGAAGACAAAGTGTGACCATTTTATTTATTTATTTTTTGGTGTCAAGGACATGGAACAATATATGCTGAATGCAGGCACGCACTGTTGTGATGTGCGCCAACCATCCTTTGAAACACTACAGACTGTTGATTTCCATAGGGCTGATCAGTTTGCCTGCAGAGGCACTTCCAAGGACTTCTTCATACAAGCAAATGTACACATTATACAGTATGCATTTACATCATAAATGTTATTGTACTGCACACTACTAACTATGTTGAATTTGTAAAGAAATGTTATTTCATTGCATAATATCATATTGCATAGACAACAATGAAATTGACATGAAATATTGTGTCCTGTGCCATGCGTTTGAAATTGTGTGATTCTACCATATGACAACATAAATACCTGTTTAAAGAATAAACTGGCACTTAATCAAGTAAAAACATGCCGGTCTGTGTATAAATACGTTGAGAAATGCTCTTGTTTACCCCACAAAAATTGAGAATACTATTTTCATAAACGCACCTTTGTGCAACGTATTTAACTTGAGGGGCACTCAGTCGTGTTTTGACCTTGCATGAGATTGGAGTAGTTCCACAAGAAATCATTGAAATACATAACTAAATAAAAAAACACAACAATACATATTGCGCTGCACTAAATTTGTGTTTGTGTCCAACCACATTGTGGTGAGTTTCTGCCATCAGCAAAGTTCACTCTGCCAAAAATGAGACAGTGGATGATGCAACCATCTAGTCATTCAAACACAATGTCACGCAATACAAACAACTTGTCTGCCTCAATAACCCCAAATACATTGTGTGATACATGGAGAATAAAAGAAAATAACAGGAACACCACACAGTAAAGAATAAAAAGTTGAGTGACCTCACAATGCCAAGACAACCAACTTTGACAAAAATGCAATTCAACAAAATATTTTAAGTTTTGCTGTTGTGAAAATTGGTGTTCCTGCATTTCACAACAAAGAAATAAGAGTTTACACAACTAATTATCCCTTGTAATGTTTCCCAGCTTATAGGTGCCAGTAAAAACTACTCAGAAAACTGCTTACTTTGTTGCGCTAATTTACATGGTTGCCATAAATGTCAATAGTTTACATTTTCAATTTCTTCCAACTTAAATTACAGTTCTAGCCCACCCCCACTCCCCGAATACAAGTTGTGCTTTTTATAGTGCACATTTTTGCATGTTTGTAATGAGTTGCCAAGACAACCAACTTTGATAAAAAAAATGCTACCTCCTGGTTCACAAAGACTGATCTAAGATTTTAGAATTGGGGGGATGAAATGCTACTATTGGCAATCTGTGGCAAGGGGAGAATAAATGGCAAAAATAAATAAATATGGAAATAAATTCCTCGATTTGCATTTTCAATCAGATTTATATATACAATGTAATTTAAAGGGTTACTGCTGAGCTCCTATTTCACCTCTTCAGAAAGAACCTCATACAAATAGCTGATGTGTTTTTGTGTAAATAAGATAAGGCCGAGTAGACACGAGGAATTTTCAAATCTCAAAAGATTTTTAGAAAATCAGGCATTCAACAATTTCGATCACGTATTGCTCCCGGAGCCATGCCTGTTCTGGGCCCTTATCATAATCGGAAATCCATTTTCCCGATTATGTCGGCTTTGAGACGATGTTCTTTGCGTTCCTGTTTTTAACTACGTTTTCTCTCTCTCTCTCTCTCTCTCTCTCTCTCTCTCTCTCTCTCTCTCTCTCTCTCTCTCTCTCTCTCTACACCCCCAACACACACATCGTGCGAGCGGTGCAGTGAAATATGATCAGTGCAGCAGTAAAGCCACGCTTGGCTCAACTCTGCTCAGCTCTTCAGGGTCAGGGATGCGCCGCACAAACAAAGACAGGAAGTTTCCGTGCAGCGGCTTGTAACTACTATCCCCGCTTTTGTATCTCGCCGCTCGCAGCTGCCACATCACACAGTGTTGTCAAGCTGTCTCCTGCGTAAAGAAACATGCTTTTAAGACTTTTGGGGTTGTTTCTGGCTTTGTCGGGAAGTTGTTGGTGCGCACCACAGCAGACCTGCCATCCAGGAGACGAACTTTTGGGTGAGTAAATTGATTACGTGTTTTTTTTTTCATACACTTCAGCAACAAAGGGTGCATGCACCTTTAGAAGGATGTCCGCATGCGTCTATGATGGCCTCTCTTGAATGCAGCATGGTTACACTTTAACGAGAGAATGGTGGAAACAAAAAACGTATTGTTTGTTTCCACCATTCTCTCGTTTATGAACCCTCGATATTACTATGGATTTAAATGAAAATAATCCTCTCGTAAAGCGTTGAGATTTCACTTCAAAACACATCAGCAAAAGTTCTGCTTTGTGTTCACAAATAGCGCCTCCTAGCGTTTATAAGTAGATCTTACGTCCCTTCATTCCATCCATCTTCATGTGTGGCATTTTCCCCCTCCCGCACAGGAAGATGCAGTAACGGTGTGACCGAAGCAACACGTAAGTGACTCAGCATTATTCGTCGGAGAAGAGTTTTTAATCTTCATTTATTAATAACTGTAATCAAGCAATTCTAATGGCTGCATCACAGGTGTCACATCTAAGCTTGATGGGTTTTTTTATTGGCTGACTAAAGCAAGTCTACTTCTTGCCAAATTAGTTAGTTCTTTTCAATTTTGGCAGAAAATCTGTACCGATCCCTCATTCCCCTCATTATAAACACGTAATTGTTCAGCAAATCTCTTCTTTACATGAATTGAAGAACTGCATACTTAAATATTTGCATGTCACAAAATTCCATGACTTCTCACTTCAAATTCAGTTTGTTGTTAGCTATCTATATATACACACACTTGCCTCACAGTTTTAAAGTTCAAGATTTAAATCTTGGGTATGGAATGGGTAGCCCATTCCAAAAAAACCATGGAGCTTCATTTAATGAATGAAACCAGCCTAGAGTCAAGGTATACAACACACTTTATTAATCGCAGCCTGCCATTCAGCTACAAAGAATGAGGAGACCCTTAGTTTTTCGGACCTGACCTTCAGTGCCCAAAATGTTTAAATGTTTCTCTGCTGCGACATTCCACATGCCTCTCCTGTAAAAGGAATGGCAGATTAGTCCCGTTTGGTTTTCCGCTTTTGTGCACACCCAATGAATTTTGTGTGATAACATATGTTTCTGTTTCCCCACAGCGACCTGCACAGAGATGCATCTGAGCTACTGTAATGATGTAGGATACACTAGGTGGGTTCCAGAGGTTGGTATAACTTCACTAAAGAAAACAGTCCCACTGAGCGATGCTGTATCAAACATGCTTGGTTATTCTACTCAGTGGCAATATACAGGGCTTCCCGGTTAACGAAGGGGTTCTGTTTTTCTTTGGCTGCAAGTATGTATGGAGGTTGGTCAGCCCTTTAGTCTATTACGAACAGACGGTAATCCAGTTGTAAAATCAGAATGACAATGACAAACATTTATAGTCCATGAATATAAATTCTTGCTTCTCGCAACAGAACCGAGGACCCCCGTATCCACTGCCAAAGAAAAGGGAACATTTGAATCGGACATATGATTAACTACTCCGGTTAAAAAATCTTTACTGATTTCACTGTCATTTGTTCAGACCGTAAAAGAAGAACGAGCCGTGGAAACCCCCATCAAACCCATTGATGACGAGATTCACAATCACACTCACAATCAAAGTCCATTGGCGATTCCAACACCTGCGAATTTCCTCTAGACAATTCAAAATGTGGCTCAGTGCGCTGCCTCCACTTGTCTATCTGCGCTCTCTGCATCTGAAATGCTGAAGGAAATCAAGTCCCACGACAACCAATATTACTTGCAGTGAATCGTTGGCATGGGCGTGGTGGACATCGGGAATTTCTGGAATTTCCAGAAATTGGCGCGCATGTTGATCTGCCCTTAAAGACGAATATTCCCGGGCCGAATTTCGGTCCTCATAGGTCTCTGATCGTAGGGTCTTATTCTGCTACCCGACACCAGTCAGTTTACGTCCGGCTACCTTGTGGAGGTCCCCGTGGTCCGTGATGAAATTCTACCTTCATTTTTTTTTTTTAAGTGGTGTACATCCTTGTAGAACATTTTGTGGAGGTTATTGTATCCAGATGGTGATAACACAGTGCCTGTTTACATAAAAGTGAGTAAACATGGAATACTTTGAAAAAGTTGCTGCATTTTGTCTGTCTCAGGGCAGTGACTGATTGTATGTGAGTTTTTAAAATTGTGTCGGCAAGAACTGAGCATGTGTGGCTGGAATGAAAACCAGAACACAGAGCCTCTGCCAAGGCTATTCCTATTCTTGGGAAATTATGGGTTGAGAAAATAAATATTTCTATCTGTATGTTTTTGCAAATACGGTATGCACCGAAATGTGATGGTTTTGTTCTCAGCGCATGCCACCCCTCCGCAAAGTTTCATGAAAATCGTTTTTGTGGTTTTTGCATGAGTTAACAAACTAGCTTCCACACTTGGTGGAGGTAGTAACCTACAGATCGAATACAGTAAAGATGTGCTGTTTCTTTTGAATCACTATACATGTCGTGCCCAATTTAGGATGTCAATATAAAATCTTCCATTGCTGCTCCAGAACAATGTTTCCCAACATCCTCGGCCACCGGACACGTATGGATGCCGAATCGGGGGCAGAGTACCTTCTCCTGAGCGTCATCCATGGCCTGCTTAATGGAGAATGTTCCCCTGACATCCGTCTCGTGGGCTGCTCGGTACTGGCGTCGCCCTGCCGTGACAACAAGATGATCAAGCCCTGTCGCAGCACGTGTGAGGCCCTGAGGAAGGACTGTGCTCACACCTTTGAGGCCATACGCATGGCCTGGCCATACTTCCTGGACTGTGACCGCTTCTTTGCAAGTGACCGAGAAGGCTGCTTTGACCCACTGGCTGCCCTAAGAGGTAAAAAAACTGTTTCATCCCTTGAACAGAATTCCAAACTTAGTCCTCCCACGCCCGTCCCCAAATCCTTTTCAGCCAGACAGGTGCAAGAAAGGTCCAGCCTCTCGCCAGATGAGCCCAGCACCATCATCCAGTTCACCCACACCACCAACAGTCAGATGTACAGCTTACTGAAGAGAACGGCAGCCAAGTGTTCCCACATCTCTCGTGTCTACAGCATCGGCCGCAGCACTGAGGGCCGAGATTTACTGGTCATCGAATTCAGCAACAATCCTGGACAGCATGACCTATGTAAGTAAAATGTATTTATTGAATGGTAGCGACGGGCCATTGACTACATTTCCTTGATCAAAATATCAAGAAATGGTGGAATCTCTTTGTGTTGAGTGCTTGTTTCAATCGAAATGTCGTCTTGAGTAGAGGTGTCCAGTCCAGGGCCAGAAAGTAAAAACACTGCTGCAGTTTGGCTTTAGCCGCAGGAGCTTCTACTCACCCGGCAGGTAAACTGAGCTCGGTTACCTGCCGGTTGAGAAGAAGCAGGATGTTTTACTTTCTGGACCTAGATTTTGACACCTCTGGAATTGAGCAATATCGTGGATGTAGCTGAACTTTACATTGCTCATGTAAATGTGTTATTTTCTAGACGACTAATTAGTTGAGATTGAGTACCAGTGTCTCTGCTGGCTGCAGCCAAGTAATGTCATCCGTTTAGCCTCAATGGCTTCAAGATGAAATTGTTCTACAGTCACTTAACACTCAAGCGTTCAAGTCACTGATTATCATGTGCATCTGGGGCCTTATTTTCATAGACAGGCACCCATACACTCTGTGTAAAAGCAGGAGCATCTTCATTTTCATGCTGGGAAAGTCCAGTTTACCTTTTTAGGGAATTCTAGCAGGGCGTTCCGGCTGACGGCGCCGGCACGCCCCCGACAGAACGTATTTTGCTGGAGCAAGTCTAGGTTAGAGTGTGTATGAATTTTGTAGACCGCGCTACACCCCAATTGGCGATCCGGCGTATTGTGTTGCACGACGCCGTGCAATAGAAAAAAATTTGTTCATACCGTCATCATGTGTAGCGTCACATGAGACATCCGAAAATCTTGTGAGACTCCAAATCAGTCAGTGTAATTTCCAAACCAGAAGAGGGTCTGACTGCTCAGCTCAATATGAGCAGTACTAATCACGAAATATTAATCACATTAACAAGCAGATGCATATAGATACAGTACACAAAATAACTCTGGCAATACTGTACCATTCAAACACCAATAGATTATAAAATATTGCATCAAGTCATTCCCAGAGGGGTGGAAGCTGTTATGTCTTCAAAGTGGAAACTGTTACACTACAGTGGACGCAGTAGATGCTCGGATAGGGACCAAGCGCAATGCTTACCGTACATTATTTCCACAACTTCTGAAGATCTTGCCTGTTTTCTCCAAATTTGCCTTTTGTCTTCATACTCAAGTGGAGCCAGAGGTCAAGCTCATTGGCAACATGCATGGCAATGAGGTACTCGGCCGGGAGCTGCTCATCTACCTGGCTCAGTACTTGTGCTCCGAGTATACCTTGGGAAACCCGCGGGTACAAACCATCATCAACACCACCCGCGTTCACATCTTGGCCTCCATGAACCCCGACGGCTACGAGCTTGCCGCTGCAGAGGTAGAGGATAGCAATGACCCGGAGCTCATCAACCAGGAAGTAAATATTGTTAACAGTACAAGAAAAGACAAATTGCCATTATCCGTTGTCAGTCCACTCTGCTTTGTCTTTCTGGAGGAGGGGTGGAGGCAATAAGTGCTGATCTGATGATCTGATTTGTTGGCAAATTGACGTGAGGATCTTGCGGTGAGGCATGAGGCAATGTTAAGTTAGAACTGTTATCGTTTGATGATCAGTCTGTTTTATACATAAGTCGGATAATATTTATCATTTTCATATCATCAAGGATTCGGACAATTCTAATTACAAAAAAGGGATCTAAACGCTCAATAGATCATCAAAAGTAATTATCAAGTCATTTGACAATCGATTAGTTATTGATTAATCAATTAACCGTTGCACCCTTGGATTACTGTTCTCGAAACAAAAACACATCAAACGGTTGCCTGAGCGAAGGGCAGAGGCCCAAAGTCAGATCGCGTCAACCAATTTGAATTACAGCATTCAAAAAGTGGTTGCTGCTATTTGTTTATCCAAAGATATTATTAGCTAGACACGTTGTTTCAGTGGACTGTTTGAGTATTCTTACTTCTCTTACCGTGAGAATAATGGATGTCATGATTTAACGATTTGATCCATTGATCCAGTGACTTGATCCCCTCGTTGTAATTGTTATCGTAATCCATCATTATTTCAACTTGTTCGGCTTGAGCGAGTATTTTTTCATGGCCTTAAAGTATCCAGGGCAGCACAAAATTATTGTAAATAAATCTAACAAAGCTTGAAACTTCTTTAAAGCGAATTCAAATTTTTTTTAGACCTACCTCATAGGGGCCGGCAAGACAACGGCATACACTACACTCGCGTAGTGACGAGGTCAGAGCTGAGTGACTCGAATAATGTGAGAATGATGACAAGTAGAAATCATTGACTCACGGCAGGACTCATGCCTTCCACCCTCCACTCTCTTTTTTTGTCTGTACCTACCCAGGTCCTCCCACACCCAGATCGAGTCATCACTTATTTTAGATTTATGAGCTTTAACGCAAGCAGAATTGACAAATTATATCGCACGCTACCTGGCAGTGGGAGAACTCTGCTTTCAACTAACCAGTAATCAACGTATTTCTTACTCATCATCATCATTATGCAAAATTCTGTATCCTGTGACACATTTGTAACCCTTCACAGCAAACGCATTTTCTGTCAGAAATCTTAACATTATGAAAGAGCGACTTCTCTCAAATACGTTAACACTGTCGTGATCTGTGTTTTTGTTGACTTTTCATCTTATGTCATGTTTTCCTGCGTCCCTTTTTTCATATCTCGTCCACTTGTTAGATGCTTGCTCCATCAGTTCTCGTCAGCCCATTTCCTTGTGTCCGCCAATTACCTTCCTCGAGCTACTCGTGTCTTATCCAGGTGTGTCTCGTGTCTTGCCAATTTGTTTGTATTCTCCCCCGCCGCACAAAAAGCGGAAAGGAATTTATTTCCATGAGACAAAGAAGACACCTGGAAAAATCTCAATACTAGAATGGCAAAGCCTACCCCATCCCAAATAAACAACAAATAAAATAATAATAATCATCAAAGTAACAATGAACCCAAACAGAACACTTACATGTCAAGAAACTTGACAAAACTATGGAAAAGGTGACTCGCAACAGCAACAATGAACCAATAGACTGAAAGAAAGTCGGGAACTAAATGCAAACAAATCGCTGAGCCAATGGACACACCGCGAGCGATTGAAAGGGAGCTGATTGACTGACACAAGAAAAAGGGCTGATGAGAATAGTTGGAGACGAAAACGTTAACGCGTTGACAGTACGGTACATGAAAAAAAGGGGCACAAGAAAACAACATGAGTTAAAACTAAACAAAACTTTTTTAAAAAAAAAGGGGCTTCTTACGCCGTGTTTCCTTTCTGCATGCATATACTGTATGCACTGGACTGATCACATGACTTCTCTTGTCGGATACATGGTCTCTCTTGTCTACGTGTTAACAATGGACTTGACAAAGATAGTCTAACACTTTCTTAGTAGTTTTGTCACCACATGCTTCCCTTGATGCCTGCTCCCTTTAACATCGTCTTCCTCGTCACGATCAATGGGACGTGTACATTGAGGTCACTCTTTTTCACATGGTTTAACTCTCCCAGTTGTTTGAATATAAATGTTTCAGGGTCACTTGCTGAACGGTTGGACTCATGGCCGCACAAACGCCCAGAACATTGACCTGAACCGCAACTTTCCTGACCTCACATCGGTCTTCTACCGGAACCGTCGCAGCAGGCACTACCGAACCGATCACATCCCAATTCCTGATGGCTATTGGTTTGACAAGGTACAATGAAATTAGGTCGCGTTTATTTATAATTACAATCATTCTTGCTATTTTCTCCAAGTGTCGATGTTGCAAATAAACCAATGACTCAGACCATAACATATAAAACTTTATGTCCTCTTGTCAATGAACTGATAGTACTAATTCAAACCACTGATATAGTTAGTTCAATACATGTTATGCACTGTAGGTGGCACCAGAGACCTTTGCGGTGATGAAGTGGATCAGGTCAATTCCCTTTGTCCAGTCAGCCAGCCTCCATGGAGGTGAGCTGGTGGTCTCTTATCCCTTTGACTACTCCAGACACCCTCACGAGGAGAAGATGTTCTCACCCACTCAAGATGAACGGGTAATGGATGAATGAAATGGGAAAGCTGATGTGGATGATAGTTGTTGACATAACTCTCCCAATAACCATGCCACCTGCAGGTGTTTAAGCAACTGGCGCGTACGTACGCAGACGCCCATGCCACTATGTCAGACAATGACACAGACAGGTGTGGAGCAATTTTCTACCGAACGAAGGGCATCATCAACGGGGCACTGTGGTACAGTTTTCCTGGAGGTGAGAAAGAGAATACTGTGTATTCATTTGTTTCAGCGGACTTCCAAGGCAATGTACTGGCTAGTGTACAAGCACTGTGCAAAGTCAGCCCCTTGTAGTTTTTGGGTTTTTAATGACCATTTCTCCCTGCTGTCATTTCACCAAAGAGTAATTGTGTCAGCAAGTGTGTATTTGTATTCGAACAAAAGTGATGTAAAGAACTGTTCAAAGCACTCTAACGGTGGCCTTTGCACAGTTACCACATGTAGTATGTCTCTTTTGCAGGTATGTCAGACTTTAACTACCTGCACACAAATTGTTTGGAGATCACCGTCGAGCTGGGCTGTGACAAGTTCCCTTCCGAAGTCGAGCTTTACCCCGAATGGAAGCGCAACAAGGAAGCTTTGCTCAGTTTTATAGAGTCGGCAAGTATATCTGAAAGTTTTGTTAACTTGGCAACACTGACTGCATGAGAACTGCTCCCAACATCTATCTGAGGAAGGGCCATTAATAATGGTTCACAGAGCTAACGTTGACAAAGATGCCAAAACTGTTGCCGGTGCATGTGATGGGAATAGAAAATAGAGTTTCACTTTTTCATTGAGCTGCTCATACAGGTCCATCGGGGAATTAAAGGTGTTGTAAAGGATGTTCATGGCAATGGGATCAAAGATGCCACAATCTCTGTCAAGGGGATTCGGAAAGATATCACCACGGGTAAAATTTAGCTGGAATATCACTTTGTTCCTTTTTGTTTTTGTTCTCATTTTCCTGACTACTTGTCTGACGTCACCACTCTTGCTCTGTGCGCCCTCGTCGTTCAGCTGAAGGTGGAGACTACTGGCGTCTGCTGAGTGCTGGTACTCACATCGTGACAGCCACTGCCAAAGGTTACTCAAGGGTCAGCAAACGGGTTCATTTGCCTCACAGCTTGAACAAGGCAGGACGTGTGGACTTTGTCTTGAAGAAGGTCTGTTGACTGTTCTGCAACATATGATGGATAAAATGGGATCTCTGCTCTCTATTGTCACTCTCCTTTACATCTTGTACGCAGGTTCCCCTGAAGCCGGATATTGACGACCACTTCTTCCCCACGACAGACACATGGGATCGATTTGACCCTTACAATCAGTTTGAACGTTACAGCGAGTCATCTGTAGTTGAGGGTGGGACAGAGCGTCAGGAAAAGCCCTGGTGGTGGTCCTACTTCTCCCAGTCTGGCATCTCGCCTCCAAACTGGCTGCTGCGAAATGTCTAAATTCACTTGAGGACAACACAAATCTCATTGTACCACTGTAAAACGCTTTTTGGATGCATTCTTGGAGCATCTGAGATGTATTAACATTGACTTCAACACCGCAAACACAAGTTTAATGCTTTTGAAAGGACGTGACGAAACTGTTTTCTACCAGGAATCACATGTAACTCTAGTGAGCATTTGAAGGTGATGACATCCCCAAAAAATGGAACGCACTCCGCTGATTTTCAGAAAAGTAAAGGCAGCTGCATAAAATATGCTCGTTTTGTTCTTGCAGTCTAATGGTTATTTCTTGTGTTGCAACATGTGTCAACTTATAAATGTAGGATTTAAAAAAAAAAAAACTTTCACCCCGCACGAGTTTTGGTACGCACGGTAACGAGGTGCAACTGAACTCAGCAAACAATATGTTGCAGTTTTACCACCGAGAATTGTTGACATTGTGTACGAATATAGCAGCTGTTGTGCCTTTCAGCCTGTCCCATCAGGGGTCGCCACAGCGAGTCCCTCGCTCCAGGATGCATTCTTTTTCTCTTATGTTAATACAAACTTTGACCGACAGAGGACGCCAGTGCACATGTACGCAAGACTCAAGCTCGACCAAGCCAACGCTTTCTCCCAATAAAAACTACATTACTGAACATGAAGACTACTCAACAACAGTAATTAAGGTATATACAGTAACTGCACATACTTGTGGCGTAAATAATTTACTACTGTTTATTATTATATTCAAATAAGCTAGTTCAGCATTAATCTATAGATGTGCGCACACACACACACACACACACACACACACACACACACACACACACACACACACACACACACACACACACACTCAAGTTAATCAGGCAAGGTTCCAGGATTTTTTTTTTCTCTAAAGCGAGGCTTGATCACAGATAGAGGGCTGAGAAAAGAATTTATAAATATATTTCTGAATATCCAATACAATTCTGGACCAACTTAACTGGGGTTACATTGATTGGCCCTCCTCAGCCTCTGTGTCACGCCATCCCTGGTAATAATAGAAAAATCAAGTTAAATGTTAAAAAAAAAGTAGGCCGATTTTATCCATCCATCCATCCATTTTCTGAACTGCTTTATCCTCACAAGGGTTGTGGGGGGTGCTGGAGCCTATCCCAGCTGTCTTCGGCAGTAGGCGGAGCACACCCTGAAACGGTTGCCAGCCAATCAAAGGGCACACAGAGACGAACAACCAACCACGCTCACACTCACACCGAGAAACAATTTGGAGTGTTCAATCAGCCTGCCATGCATGTTTTTGGAATGTGGGAGCAAACCGAAGTACCCGTAGAAAACCCACGCAGGCCCGGGGAGAACATGCAAACTCCACACAGGAAGGATCGAACCCACCACCTCTGCACTGTGAGGTCAACGCGCTAACCACTGGACCACCGGGCCACCTGTAGGCGTATTTTACTGAACCCCAAAACAAGATGATTTGCGGATATTTACTTTGATGCCTCTCATGTGTTTCGCAGAAGAACATTTCTCGATCCGAGTTATGTGCAGGCAGACGGTCACTTATCCTTGCGCTGGCGGTAATCATCACAATTACGTTTTCAGTGGATAGACCTGCTCCACTAATCAGTGGAGCAAAACAGAACTGAAACCACATTAGCGAAGAATAAAAAAAGCATTTGGTCAGGAAGGGAATGGTTTACAATTAGACAAGGTATTGCAGTTTAGTAGTCAGTAATATCGTGGGTTATCTAACTGTGGTGATTAGCTCACGCCTTCGCAGTGTTTACCAGGTTAGTTTTAGCATGAAGGCATCGGGCTCACAATTTCATGTCACAGGGAAACTGAAAACGTTTTTGTGTAACTAAAGAAAGCTATGTTTGAACTATCCACAATTCACGTACGTTCAAGAAATTCTTCACTTTATCATCACGCATCCATTACACAGTCAATTTTGTATAGTAGATTTTACTCTAATCGAGGAAAATTAAACTCTGAAAAATACTATTTGGTCCCAGTCTAAACTTGGAAGAGAGTATTCAGATATTCAGATAAAATTTTACTCAAAGTCTTGGACTAATTGTACTCCAAACAATAAAAACAAACCTTTACTTGATGAAAACCCAAGTTACTCACCCACATTTTACACCGTTGAGAGAAGGTGGCGGAGCCTCAAATACTAAAGTGAAGAGACTTTGATCCTCAGCAAGCTCTATAGGAGCCTGATAATGATCCTGATCATTTGAATCAGGTGTGGAAAAAAACCCAAAACTGTGACCCTGTAAAAATTACTCTTCCATTTTTTTCTGCGTACTGGCCCTGCGTATTGGGCAATGTCGCCAAGTAGGCTGAAGAACTAAATGACATAAGGTTTCTCACTGTACATATTTTTGAATACATGGACTAATAAAAAAATATTCAGCAAATTGCAAATAATACATTCGGTTATATTCTGTACTGAGTAATATGTTATTAATTGAGAAGGCTTCTCATTTATTTCAAAACCATGGGGGTTACCTGTTTCAGAATTGAGAAATAATTGACCTCCATCCGAGCAAAATTGTTCCTATTATGGTTATTGGCTGGCAGGATGAACACATGTAAAGATTGCCTTGGGAAAGGAATGGTGTTGAAAAGTTCCAATTCTCATTAACATTTGAGCTCTGCAGTGTTGATCAAGTACACAAAATATCCCAGAAAATTACATAACTAACCAGTTGTTCGTAAAGTTTCAACATGATGCATTTACATGATGACTCTCAAATTCTTGAGCACAGCAATGGATTTGTCTGGAATTAGTTTGTTTCTTTTTTTTTTTTTTCTTCTTCTTTTCTTCGGCTTTGATTCTCAGTCTCCCACTGCTGTTAGTGTTTAACCGTAAAGAGAATTGTTGCAAGAAGAAGTCATTGTCGCTGTTTAAAGTTGTTTGTAATGCTTGCGAACTAAACTGTCCAATACATGAGTCCCAAATGCTTTGTTGTAATGAATACCAGGGACAAAAACAACGTGTCAATTGTAATACATCCCACAAGACTGGCTCAAGTTCAATTTTTGCTGCCACTCTTTCATCCTTAACAAAAACCTCGATAAACTCCCTGCATTAACATTACAGTGAATGTCAAACTATGAACAAATCCACGCTACTCTAAACAGCGAGGCTTTGAAAAGTCAGACAGAATGTGTTCATAGTGTTCCAAGAGAACAACTCTTTCTTCTGTCGGTCTATGTCACCCTAACAGAAAGTAGGAACAACCATTTTTTTTTCTGCCCGGTCTCAAATCTTTTCATCTTTTGTAAAGGTGCTCGAAAGTCTTTTTTTCCAAAAAACAGATTCATGGATGAGCCTGATGACCAAACAGCAGAACAAAGTCATGCAAGCACACAATGCGTGGATTGCTATTGCTAACACTTGGCGCATATAGGTGTGAGCAACGTCTATGACACAGCGCACAAGAACGAATTTTGTTCATGTTTTCTCCTAAAATGGAATTCTGCTCTTCTCTACTGCCTCTAATGGAGCGAGTACCACTTTTGAATTGGGCTATAATTATCTTCCTTCCAAGGCAGCGTGTTCCCAGATGTCTCCTCCTTATGCTCTCGGAGTGACTTTCCATCGGGCAGACTCCGACTGACGTTCTCTCTCTTTCCTCGGCCTCCCCAATGCACCATGTAGTCACTTTCAATCTGACTGCATCACTTTCTGTAACTTAACACTTTTTAACACTCAGCATATATAATGCAAATGCTGAACCACTTTGCTCTGAAGTCCGTCCGTCGCTCTCCTTTTCACTTGCTGCTCTCAGTCTTTCAATCCTGTAGCTATCTAGCTGTTATGCCCCAGGAGTAGAGGCCTGCTCAATGTGGCAGAGATGATTTGTTTGCTTTGCAATTATTTTCCGTCAGTGGAGACAAATGGATTCATACTGCATAGAAAAACCCACACAGACGGGGCTGGAGCGGTGAATGCAGTGGAACAGACTAATGTGCACTGCCAACAGATAAAGACAAAGATGAGCCACATAGTGCAACTCGGGTGAGGAGCAGAAAGCTTTGAAACTGGAAAGACAAAATGTATGACAAGGGCCATGTAGCTTTCCTCCATATTTATTGCAATAGTGTGCTATGTGACGGACAAAAGAATTGATTGATCAAAATAGGAAGATATCTGATGTAGCAAAAAAAAAAAAAACATTGCATAAACATCATTGTCGAGAATCTAACAGCCCACCTGGAAGAATCATTACCAACGTGCATTAAATGCCAAAGAGATCGACTGTAAAGGCCCTTTTACTGAATTCTAACCTTGACGGTATGTAAAATTTAAGGTTTCATATGCTCCATGGGCATTTGCGGAAATAAGGCGAATCGTTCATAAGATTCTTAAAAGTCTCTGTTTTGTTTTCTGAAGAATGCACATGTAGCGAGAGTCCACAAAATCACATCATCAGTTCCAATATGAGAGAGAAAAGCAGGGCCAAAGATATCCTTTTAGCGCAGTCGGTTCCTTATCCTCCCGATGGTATGCACCATTTAATGTGAATCAAGGCATAGGCCAAATGAGGTGAGGGTTAGAATGCAGTGGCGAGCTGTGCATTTGGTACCTTGGCCTTCAGTTCAGATTTACCCAATTTCACTTTTAATGCCAATACTATCACTTCCAGTGGTAGAATCCATCAACAGCGCAAAAATAATATGTAGTGCAAGCAGTGCAGCTGACAAAATGAGAACGATAGAAAGTTGGACGGAAATCCATGAATACAGTTTCATGGAACAACCATTCCGATTTAGATTGTAAATCTAGGTCAGTGCATCTGATGTTGTTCAGGCCAACAGAGAAAGTCTTGCTGGTGTTACGGCAACCTTGGTGTAGCATACGGCCGAGTTGGGGGACTACAGCAAGCAAAAGCTTCATCAAGACTTTTGTTTCAGAGCATCCAATTAAGACATTTCGATGTGTGCAGGAACATTAGCCTGACTGGATTTGAAAAATAAGATAAGACAAGAAATCCTTTAATCGTCTTGCAATGGAGAAAATCCCAATTCACAGCAGCAAAGTTATGAAAGGAAGAAGTAGAAGAACAAAATATAGGAGCTGCTGGAAAGGCAGCCACTCTCGCGGCGCCATCTTGAAGTCAAAATAACAAAATCACACAACACAACACATAAGACACAGACAGTCATAGACACAAATAAGGGTCTGAAATTAATGTCGTGTTTTGTCATGACGCTATTCAAAATGCACATCATAATCTGCATTCATTGTGTTGGATTGCACGTACATTTTGT